AATGAAGCATAAAGCGAAAATTAACCACGTGTAGCTTTTTAGATCCATTCCTTTCTTGTAACGTGGCCGGACGTGGGCTTTTTGGTCTTTTCTGAAGATGCTATATACACTATAAAATTAACAATTTAGCCTTAATATCTTATTCCGCGAAAATGGCGGTATGCTAAAGCCTTATAAATAATATTACAGCTACAATCATATTTTAAAAAGTATATGAAATTCAACATGTAAACAAACTGGACTTGACTTCCATCAATGTTTTTGTGGGAAATAAGCCACTATATAGTTTTTGAGCCGGCATAGGCTATCTAATATCTATATAAATCACCAAAATCAAATCCGGCATTCCTTGATTAGCGTTCCCCAACACTAGCTGAGCGTGTGTTCAAAACGGGTTCTTCCAAGGCAAACAAATGTTTTTTATTGTTTTCCCGTACCCCGGGGAAGTTCTCTCCCATGGCCATGCAGAAATTTGATACAATCGGTGGTTGTTGTATTTATACTATGCGGGCGCACGTGAGAAGATGTAACCCTGCAATTCTGCGAATTCAAGACGACTGCCAAATTTGGCTTAGGAAAATAGTAATTTGCCAGAATTCGCTCATCAAATCAAATTGTATCACAGGAAGTTAAATGATGAAAGTCATACTTGTTTTGCGTAGCGTTGTAGCCAGCCAGACGATCTATATATCTTAAAAATTAAGTGCAAATTCGAAGTCATCATAATTTTCATTTGAATAATTTCTTTTAAAAGTTTTCGCAGTAAATGAACACGGAAATACGGCATAACCAGATCTTAAAATCAGGCTAAGAGCATGCATGGTTTTTTAGAGACTACATAAATGTACAATAGAAGTTATAGAACTCCTTAAATAGGAGAACATTAATTTATGCAATGTATATGAATATGTAGTTGTAAACCGTATCTTTGTATTAAGCTTAAAAACATTCAGTAGTTCGCCTGTTGAATAAAACGATAGACTTGCTCTCAATTTTGAACTTAACCACCGTTTAAGCTAAACAGGCTAGATACAACCGGCCCCTGGACTGGCTGGACAATATATATATATATATACATGGACACGCGTGTCTGGAGGTAAAATTAAGCTTCAACAATATGGGGTATTGTAATCAGGTAATGTTAATTATTCATTTTCTTGCCTGAAACGCACAAAGCTAGGACGCGGTGAGATGACTACAAGAGTCTTTCGCCCTTTTTTCCTTTCCTCGTGTCGTAAGTTAAAACCAGGCTTTTAAAAGCTCGAATGCATGAGTGATGAGTATACAGATTTACTGATACATAGAGATTACTTCATGGTTGGCGAGTGCGTACGATCATAATTATTATACATGTATAGAGATCAATTTGACAACGACACGCTCAGTTTAATAAATATATTATATGCAAAACACATGCAGCGAGCAATAAACAAAACATGTTTATTACCGCTCAGTTTCTTTGTACTTTAGTTCAATAGAAGTTAGATATTCTTTTCGAAAGATTTGATGTGCTGAATGTGAAAATGTCTTGAATATGAGGACTCTCACTCCTTTATATCGTTCGTCCAATCGAAAGCTGTGTATCGCATTTTTCACACGTAAAAACATCATGCGTCCAATCAAATTGCATAATTATTTTGATAAACATACGATTTTTACGATCTCTATACACATACAATAAAAAAGTATATGCACTTGAGTTCAGTGTATAGCTAAATGAAAATATTCTATATTAAAAAATAATACTCTTCAGCTCATCTACATCGGCATGATATTATTAAGGCTACAAGTTAAAATTACAATTTTCATTACGGATTAAATGTTCATTACGGATTAAAATGTTCATTACGGATTAAAATGTTCATTCGGATTAAAATGTTCATTACGGATTACAATGTTCATTACGGATTAAAATGTTCATTACGGGTTAAAGTGTTCATTACGGGTTAAAATGTTCATTACGGATTAAAATGTTCATTACGGGTTAAAATGATCATTAAGGATTAAAATGTTCATTATATACGGACTAAAATGTTCATTACGGGTTAAAGTGTTCATTACGGATTAAAATGTTCATTACGGATTAAAATGTTCATTACGGATTAAAGTGTTCATTACGGACTAAAATGTTCATTACGGATTAAAATGTTCATTACGGATTAAAATGTTCATTACGGACTGAAATGTTCATTACGGATTAAAATGTTCATTACGGATTAAAATGTTCATTACGGACTAAAATGTTCATTACGGATTAAAATGTTCATTACGGATTAAAATGTTCATTACGGATTAAAATGTTCATTACGGATTAAAATGTTCATTACGGACTAAAATGTTCATTACGGATTAAAATGTTCATTACGGATTAAAATGTTCATTACAGATTAAAATGTTCATTACGGATTGAAATGTTCATTACGGACTAAAATGTTAATTACGGATTAAAATGTTCATTACGGGCAAAAATGTTCATTACGGATTAAAATGTTCTTTACGGATTAAAATGTTCATTACGGATTAAAATGTTCATTACGGATAGCCATTTCGTTGTGATTGTCGTCATTTATGGGTAATGATGCGTCGAGAAAATACTCGTCACTTTCACTGAACTCCGCCCACGGGACGAGTGTTATATAATGGATGATGAAAAAAATAACAAGCATCAATTGAACCAAGACTGTGTACGAGAGCTTTCTAAATGCCAATTCTACCTCATCCAAATAGATTCTTAGAAATAGTGGTACAAATATTAGGATGATGACAAATATAATGAACCCCAGTCTAAACAAATTGAATGTGCTCCCTTTCCATTTCGCTGCAATCCATAGCATTATGTGGGAAACGATGAGAAAGCAAAAATTAAGCATTTTGAACAGCAGGTATGCAGCCGCTGAGGCAATAAAAGCTCTGTCGGGGTCAAAAGCAGTAATACGATAACAAGTTACGAAATCATTCATCGAGATTGACGAACAGTTGACAGGGGATTCATCATAAGGGGTCTCCGTTAACTTCACGTCGTCGTTCTGTTTGAAGCAATCAATGTCTGGGCTGTTGACACAGTTATAGGTTACGTCAACGATAGCGATAAGAAAAAATATCTGGACGCATACGGCAACAATTAAAAGTGAATGGAGCATAAAATGTTTTTTTTTCTTAGCTGGAAGTTCTCTGTTGCAAACGAAGAAGGTTGGTCTTCTTCTTTCGATATTTCTTTTACTGATGATGCTTTTCATAACAATCAGCATTAAATTTTCGCTTTTTTTGTGACAATACCAAATAATGCCAAAAATAATGCCTACCATGCTAACGGGAATGAAGCATAAAGCGAAAATTAACCACGTGTAGCTTTTTAGATCCATTCCTTTCTTGTAACGTGGCCGGACGTGGGCTTTTTGGTCTTTTCTGAAGATGCTATATACACTATAAAATTAACAATTTAGCCTTAATATCTTATTCCGCGAAAATGGCGGTATGCTAAAGCCTTATAAATAATATTACAGCTACAATCATATTTTAAAAAGTATATGAAATTCAACATGTAAACAAACTGGACTTGACTTCCATCAATGTTTTTGTGGGAAATAAGCCACTATATAGTTTTTGAGCCGGCATAGGCTATCTAATATCTATATAAATCACCAAAATCAAATCCGGCATTCCTTGATTAGCGTTCCCCAACACTAGCTGAGCGTGTGTTCAAAACGGGTTCTTCCAAGGCAAACAAATGTTTTTTATTGTTTTCCCGTACCCCGGGGAAGTTCTCTCCCATGGCCATGCAGAAATTTGATACAATCGGTGGTTGTTGTATTTATACTATGCGGGCGCACGTGAGAAGATGTAACCCTGCAATTCTGCGAATTCAAGACGACTGCCAAATTTGGCTTAGGAAAATAGTAATTTGCCAGAATTCGCTCATCAAATCAAATTGTATCACAGGAAGTTAAATGATGAAAGTCATACTTGTTTTGCGTAGCGTTGTAGCCAGCCAGACGATCTATATATCTTAAAAATTAAGTGCAAATTCGAAGTCATCATAATTTTCATTTGAATAATTTCTTTTAAAAGTTTTCGCAGTAAATGAACACGGAAATACGGCATAACCAGATCTTAAAATCAGGCTAAGAGCATGCATGGTTTTTTAGAGACTACATAAATGTACAATAGAAGTTATAGAACTCCTTAAATAGGAGAACATTAATTTATGCAATGTATATGAATATGTAGTTGTAAACCGTATCTTTGTATTAAGCTTAAAAACATTCAGTAGTTCGCCTGTTGAATAAAACGATAGACTTGCTCTCAATTTTGAACTTAACCACCGTTTAAGCTAAACAGGCTAGATACAACCGGCCCCTGGACTGGCTGGACAATATAAGCAAGGAAGCACAGCTAAATTAAAAAGTCCGAATCGAACCTGTTCATCCTGTAACACACAAATATATAGGAAGCGATATGTGGAATATGTAATTTTTTATACATTCTTGAAATTCAAACTTTCCGGCTTGTATTGGACTTTTCCATTTCTATTAACTTCCTTGATATGTTTTTGTCACATTTTAAGTATCGCACTAACGCGTTTCCTGTTCGGAAGAAGATATAGTTTACTCACCCGTTACACCTTTTTCCAGGAAGTGTTTCCCTCTCACATTTGTTATATAAGAGGTCTGTGTGGAATATTGATATCACAGTTAGAGTTGATCTCATTATCACCTGCAGGAAACATATGAAAATCCGTTCGATTCCTGATAAGTCAAATATATAGGAAGCGATATATGGAACATGTAACTTTTGATACATTCTTGAAATTCAAACTTTCAGGCTTGTATTGGACTTTTCCATTTCTATTAACTTCCTTGATATGTTTTTGTCACATTTTAAGTATCGCACTAACGCGTTTCCTGTTCGGAAGAAGATAATTTACACACCCGTTACACCTTTTTCCAGGAAGTATTTCCCCCCACATTTGTTATATAAGAGGTCTGTGTGAAATTTTGATATCACAGTTAGAGTTGGTCTTATTATCACCTGCAGGGAACACATAAAAACCGTTCGATTCCTGGTAAGTCTACACATATTATTCATGGTCATTATAGCTACGATAATTTTAAAACATTTTGAAACATACAATCATTATTCATTGCTCCATTACTTTCTCGTTTTCTTATGATTAAAAGCGTAATTAATCATTTTCAGTACCTTGCTGCAGACATCATTTCGTATCTTTTAGCAAATATAATGTTTAAATAATTATATTACAACCGCGAATTATATTTTCACGAGGTTAAGTTTGACGCATAGTTGGTTGTGGTGCTACACCTAATGTTGCAATTTTCGCAACTGTCCGCAAACAGTCGATAAATTGATTTGACCATTTGATCTAAATATATATAACAGTGAATGATTAAACTGTTATTTAAATATTGCATGCAAGTATATGGCGGATGCCTAATAAATAACTAGAAACGAATACCGTGACGTGCATGATGGTGACATTTTGACACCGAAGGGCGGCGTTTGTTGGATCCATGGTCCGCTTAAAATGCATCTAAATTCATTTACGTACCCTTTTGTGCGTACGGTTCTTCCAGGGCATGCCCTGTAGACGCGCGTATACTATATGGCATAACTAACGATCAGCCTTTTGCCAAAATCGCGTACAAAATTATAAATAATTCTCGAATAAATATAATTATAAATAATTATATAATAATAATAATAAAAGTATGAAGAAAGAATTCGAAGAAAACCCTTTCATTAAAGCAAGTAAAATTTTCTTGATTTTAGATTTTCGTTTTCCGTTTAGTAATGTAACTACAGCAGGCAAATTTCAAGCTAAATTCCATATGCAAATTCGCTGTAATTCCGTTTCACGCATAGCATAACATAACAAGCATATACCAAAATAGTTGGCATGTAACTCTATAAAAATCATAACCTCCTTGATTCTACACGAAAATTCTTTACGCCTAAGTAGTGCAAACTAAATTAATGTTTTGCCAATTACAACAAACGTTAGTTGGTTTGTAAGTTATTGTATGTATGCGTTTGCTGAAAAGCCCAAAACAGGAAATATTGTACGAAAGAAATTGCCAATATCGAAAGCGAGGGACAGGAAGACAGAATGTATATATCTTCCGGGTAAAAGTAGGTTTACTTGGAGAACCAGGCATCGGGTAGATACATGGAAACTACTAAAAGCGTCATATAAAATCAACTTTTATTCAATTCTTGCACTTATATTATGTAGAAAAACACAAAAATCCGAGGTTCGCAGAGCCATCAACCCCCGTCAAAACAACTGGAATAGGCTATTTTACAGTTGTTTATTTTTTATATACCTAGGAAATAAAGAATAATACATGGATGCGCGAAAATATGGAATTTATTTCGTGCATGTGTTGAGAATAATATCGAATAATATCAATGAGATATCATTCTTAACACGAGAAATAAATTCCATATTTTTCAAGCATCCATGACCATGTATTTTTGTTTAACAGGATGTGTCAACTTATATTAATTTATATGAACAGTGAATACTGTACAGACAAAATATGATATCAAACCTGAACTTGGAAACGAGCTCATTCACACAAATACGACTTACATATACCTGGAAATTACATCCATGCAGAGCTCCTTCGCCTATATTTAACTATTTAAAACAATTATTGACGGTAGCCGGATTTTCGGTTTTTGTCAGTGCGAACAAAAAATAAAGTGCATGAAAGTCGCTATCTGCCGAATTCATGCAGCAATAAAATGCATTCTGTAAAAGATTTGAAATATTTCCGATACTTAACGGAATTCTCGCACAAACACCACTCTACCATTCAAGTAGAACTACCCTTTCAATATAGTCTGTTAGCAATGCTTTTACACAAGACTCTGACGAAGCTCGCAGCTGTAGAAGCCAAAAATCTATTGATCTGAAACTGTTTCAAATATCACTGACTTGCATGGAATGGTGAAAGTGTTTCAAGCATCAACAAGACACGTACGAGTCGTATATCCACTGAGAACGAGGCATTTGGTTTTAACAAAAATCAAATATACCAGACAGTAGAATACATTATAGCTAACACTCAATTACGATTTACGAACGACTGCGTTTATTCAATTGTCAGAAAGTTCTCTTCACTTTTTTTCTTCATATCTTCTTTTCAATCTCAAAACAACTCTTAAAATAACCTGCATGCCCGTGCCAAGTTGTATGAGCATTTCGACTAAAGCGAAGTAAGGACAAACAGAGTACTGTAGATTTAAGCTACAAATATTGAAGATATTATATGGTGTAAAGTTAGTATATAATGCATCACAAACTACTTATGAGGAAGCTGGGTCACCGAAGAATGTTTTTTTTCTTCCTTTGGAATAAGCATGCAATGGCATATATATGATGTGTTTCAAGGATGTCAAATTGTATGTACATTGAACCATTCAATTTAATTGTCGGTATCAATGCACTCAAAACAACCGATTCACAAATGTCTTTATTCAATCTATACCGTGTAGAGAAACTCTCGCTGTGCTTTGAGTTTAAAGTTTGGGCACATGCGAATATCCCGTTTCCGTTTCAGATCGCACTGTAGGCGACGAACAAATGATTATCCCAGGACTGAAACTTTGGGGGGTACCATTGTGTAGTCGTAGCTACTATAATATATAATTATATAAAAAACAAATAGAACAACACTTCTATAAATACCTTTCAACTTTAAACGAGCTCTGTCTCCTGCGATGTCACGCTTAAACTGACCGTTTGCGCATGGTTTGGGTATTCAGTCTTGTTAGTTTTCAAATTGCTGCTGGGCATTGACCACCTTGAGTCCCATGTTGCGGGCACTCCATTACCCGTCGGTCTTTTAGATAGGGCACCAAGCCCATCACATAAGAGTTTTAATCATCGTCCGCAAGGCGTATCCCCTTGGGGGCCTTAGTAGTTGATTTATAAAATCACATTACATAAATTTCTTATTTTCTTCATAAATATTTTGTTTTCTTTAGAAAATAGAAGGCACGAAAAACAGCGAGATGACCGATCATACGGGTTTGTATTAATGGCTAGATTTTATAATTAAAACTTTCTTGTCAGCCTGAAATGTTTCAACGAATATCCAAGCACAGGGGTGAACGAGTAACATGAAATTCCACATAGTTGCAACAAAGCAAGCACAAAGCATATAGTAAACAACAAATAACTCGCTTAGCCTCCTCCGCAGGCATCTCTTATGTATTTATATTAGGCATTTATATTTGGCCTTCCCCGACACAGCTGACCCAAGCCAAATATAAATGCATAATATAAATACATAAGAGAGGACTGCGGAGGAGGCTATAACTCGCTCCAATTGCCAAGTTTTGATATTTAGTAACCGCTATAGAGTCTATGGCGTCATATAAAACACAATACTCGTGTTAAATGTAGATTATTAAAGCACTAAAATGATTTTTTTCATTAAACGTTTACGATGAAAAAGTGATGTTTGTGCATGATATAAGCACGATAATAAAATTTCGAGCAACTGTATTGAGCCACCTTAAGACTGTGCGACTTAAGACATGTGCTGCACTCCTTGTTCATGGACCGTTAAATTAGGCAGATGTTCTGGTGATTTTTACTCTAATTTTTAGACGATTTAGTTATTAATGACAAAGACGTTCTTCGATTATGGTCCTACAATAGTGTATCGGGAGGACGATTTATGAACATGACAAATGAGGATGCCCCAGAAGGTAAATTATTTTGATAATCTCGATTGTCTTGATTCGTTTGCACGACGGATTTCGTTTCTATATTGGCATCGTTCTTACAAAAGAGATCCGTCGGACAGCATCCACCCCCCTTAATCATGGTTAATAATTTCGGTCCTTTCTGCATCTTGAAAAAGATTGCAAAATTCCAAACGATAATTTTTACTGGTGAAACAAGTCGTTCGTAAAACAAAATTCGTGAACGGAATTTTTTCACTGATGAAATTAAAGAAATCAAGTTAGTTTTATAAATGCAAGTAAAATAGAATTTGATTTTTACCATTCTTTGTTATGTTTTTGTAGATGGTGGATACATTGTGGCAGCAAATCTTGAACAGCTGCGTAAGCTAGATTATTGCTATAAATTATATATATAAGAAGAGTTATTTAGTTTTCCAGTATTTTTGATGTGATATATACAGGGTGTCTCAAAAAAGACGAAAACTATTGAAATCACTCATTGTTAAAATTTGAATGCCGTGTGCACGAATTTTAGCCCGTGGGGATTTAATGCAACTCAGTAAAATGTTAAATGCTTTGTGTTGCTAGAGAAAGGGGACATGTCGAAGGTCATGGTGATTGAGATGCACATTTAAATATTGTTAATAAATATCATTTTCGCGTACGAGCAAATTTTACTGCATCATATGCATGCATAAAAATGCTTGTGGCAAACATTTACATACCTGTGGGTCCCCAAGGATGTGCTTAGGCATTCAAACTCTAACAATTACACTGTTATACGTGATTTCAAAGGTTTTCTTTTTTTTGAGACACCCTGTATAATGGCTAGAAATGAAGAATTAATCGTGTTAAAAATTGCCGGTCGAAAACCACATTCGTTCACCGCTGGGAACTATTAGACAACATGATTGGCGCATACACTCATATAAAGCTCAAAATAGTTACAAATTCGCCTAAAAATCGGCCAAGTTTGATTTCAATCACTAATTTAAATTTAAAAATATATTATGCCGTTATGAACTGAAAAAAGTATCATTAACGGGTAAGCTGAATAGCTACTCTTTCTTACTATACATAAGGATTAAATCATAGAATTTAATATATCCTTCGTATGAGTCTGTGTATTTTATTCCATTTCGATTTTTTTGAGACACCCTGTAAATTTTTTAGCCCAATTGCATATCAGACAAAGTTTTACACAAAAATCAGTCAATCAGAAGCTGGATCCTCGACAACACCGAATAATCATTTCTATCAGTTCATATGACTTTGGAACTTGAAAATTGTGTGTAATTCATGTAAAATTTGAGTATGCAGAAATGCGTTCGTTTCTCACTAAATTGTAAATTTCAAATTTAATTTGGCACCCTTTACACTATTAACGTTGTCCACTGCAAAAAAATCATGATTTACATGATTTACATGGATGTAAACCTAAATGTATTCCTTAGCGAAACCGGAGCCACGAACCGGAGCTAAATATCCGATCATACTATTACTATAAAGAACGGTGACAAATGACTGCAGGCGCATGATGACTCAGTTCTGTCACATGCAGAATAGAAATATTTAGGAAAATATAAACCCACACTAAAATCATTAAAAACTATATGTATAGCTGATAGAGTACCAAAGCATTAAGCGACAAAGTTTGGCCTTAGTAAATTATATTATGAAACTCCAAGCATTGGTAATAGTACGTAAGGCATATGACGCAGCCACTGCTTTTACTGGAAAAAGTGTGTTTAGGAAATTTTTCCTAGAACACGACTTCAGGCCTCTGACCGTACACCGCTGTGAAATATGTATTAGGCGATTAACCTTAATTTACCGTTGTTTTTCCACACTCCAGCTTCAACAAATATCAAGTTCCATGAAGTAAATCGTTTTCAGAAACTCTTTGTAATGCAGTTCGAAAAAGAAGATTCTTTGTACAGTGTAAACGCTTCAGAAAGCAGTGTGACGGCCGCAAAGGTATAGTTGCCAGAGGTGTGGGGGGGGGGGTGGCCAGTGTTTATTCTATCCATATAATAACATAGTGTTCAAGCATTCCTCTTTTATTACCCATTTTTTTTGCGATTTCCTTACTTACTTTTACTCCCCGAGGAAAATTGCTCACTTCCAATTCGACAATCGCCACTTCGATTTCAAGCCTAGAACTGTAAGTGCATGTCGGCGAAATTTAAAATTAATTTCGCATTTTTTACGGCTTTATTTCTCATTTCCGTTCCCCAAAACCCCATGCAGTCCCAGTTACCCAAATCTTGTTTTCACAATTTTAAATAGTCTAGCGTTTCTCTTCCCATTTTATATACCTTCAGTAGCCCCTGCAAAGGATGGAAATCAGTGGCATAGCCAGCCTGACGATCCCGCTATGTAAATTTTGAGTTATTATAATTATTCATGCCTTCAGAAATCTATTGTTTTCACAGTCAGTGAACACAAAAATATTAGCACAGCGGGACAAATTGACAGGCTGGCTACGCTACTGATGGAAATAAACCACAAATCTTTCTTTTTATACACAGATTCCTGATAAAGATGCGGCACACTTTAAATACTACGAATTAAATCCACCAAATATGCCGTATGTTGTATTTCCATGCGAAAACAGAAAGATTGACAATCAAGATGCGTATTTGAGTTGCGATGGAGCTGGAAACATGTCACTTAAACGTTGGAACTTAGCCGGAAATCGGAGACTTCCTCCTAGGGCGGGTGCAATGGTCGATCCAAGCCTACTATTCCGCGTGGTCAAGCCATTGAATAACGAATAAGTTTTCAATATGGTGGACTGCCTCATAACATAATTTTGATATATCGTTTACTAATTATGACGTTTAATATACTATATTTTAACTTCCATTATTTTTATTATGCCAATTGCTTTTCATGGTTACAAAATGAATATTGTTTTCTATTTTACTCATAGCTAATCTTATGTATCCAATTTAAAATTCCTTACTTTTAATTGTTACATGAATATAATGATAATGATTCTTCATAATAATATAATATTTTCCGCGCCTGTGCGAAGCGCCGTGCGAGGTTATTTAGTACAAAAAGCATATTCATATCAAAATTCAGCAAATATATCTGAAAAAACAAATGATAAGAAAGACATTGTTCTCCACATTTTTGCGAAAACAATCACAACATTCCCAATTTTGCCGCCATTCAAAGGGTCAATCATGCCGCCGGAAATGAAATAATATGCGGAATTCCTCAAGGATCGATTTTAGGTCCTCTGCTTTCTTGTCTGAATTTTAATGATCTACCAGTCTGATCAAGATCTCAAATCCACAGTTCCAGGTGAACATGCCGATAATAAACAATTATTTTTTACAAATCAGCAGCGGGCGGAACCCTAGCCGTTCCTGCAATCTGATTGGCTGTAGCAGCGGGCGGAATTTTACGATATCTGACCACGGTCCGGAATCCTATATTTTATGCTCGAGCGAAAGCGTATTTGTTTTGTTTTGTTTTTCCAAAGATTTATTCGCAAACTTTGACTAGTTTTTTATTTTGAAATATATGGGCCAAATGATTATCACGATAAATTGAAGTGAATTTTAGTAAATTAAACCATAGGCAGCCCGGCCAATGCGGGTACCGACATATTGATTAACATTATTTCGTAATTCTTTACATTGGACGACAAACATAACATTCCACAGCACATGACATTTCACAGCACATGACATTTTACAGCACATGACATTTTACAGCACATGCAACAATTATAATTATACATGCACCCCTCACGCAACAATTATCATTATAATTATAATATGGAATATATTATATATATGATACTGCAACACACAATTTATGAAGCAATTTTTCTCGGAATCTTTCCTCATTCCTTTGTTTTCACGATTTCGAAATCTCAAAACGATGTCGAGGTACACGTGTAGTATGTGCGTAACGAAATGTGCAACAGGAAAGTCGTCCCATATATATTGTGATAAAAAGTATATGGTTGAAATGCGGATGAAATTCAATTCCGAGATGGATAATTCGCGCTGCGTGCTCTTTCCCACGCCCGTACGCCCACCATACCTTCTTATAACTACTTTGTTTTTCATTCCTTACACTTGCTATATTTTATCATGTTCCTCCTAAAGAAATTCAATTCTGAGATGGATATTTCGCGCTGCGTGCTCTTTCCCACACCCGTACGCCCACCTTACCTCCTTATAACTACTTTGTTTTTCATTCCTTACACTTGCTATTTTATCATATTCCTACTAAAGCGTGAATAATGATTTTTAGTGACTGAGCCAATACTGCATACATATTGTCAAAACCCACTGCACTGGCTCACCTGTCTTTTTATCTAAGGTTGTTCCGATTTTAGATAAAATTAGCTGGCATATTCAGCACAAATTACGTGATGATAGAAGTGGATGTTTTCATTCGCGTGCGAGGCGGAATTTATAAAAAATTAAAATGTCCGGGTCAAATTGCGGCTCCCAGGAAACAGTAAGATATCGAAGTGTGACGATATGTTACAACAATGAATAAACGTTTTGTGACTGTAATGTAGACTCATTTCGTCACTGTGGGATATATATATATATATTAATATATATATATATATATATATATATATATATATATATATATATATATATATATATATATATATATATATATATATATATGAACTGTTCAATATATATTAACAGTATCTAACCATAGAAAAAATGCACCGTCCTGCATGCATATGGGAGGCAACCCCTAACTAAGGGTGTATTGCAATGCATGTATGTATTAGAAGTGTAGCTAACCAAAATATCGCATTCCTGAGATGTTGTATATCACCCACACCACGCCCGCCTACATGATACACCCGCCTACATAAGATTTGTATATCACCCAAACTATATGAAATTCGTATATCACCAAAACACCCCGCCTTCAAAAAACTCAAGCACGCATCACGTCTTAAATAACACGAATTACAATTCCATCTATAGCGTGCACCAAAATTCCAGCAGAAACTCTCCTTTTGTTGATTTAAATAAGTTACGGCCTTCTTGTGTTCAAAAATTTCCGACATTCATTTCTACCATGCATTCGTTCAAGAAATTAGACTGAGCTTTATAAATTAAATGACTAAAATAATCACGTGGTCAATTATGTATAGATAATATCATAATATACAGTTACATACAAAAGTTAATAACAATAGGCGTAACCTTCAAAATATGGCCGAAGGCGAAGGACATAGCTATAACAATTATAGTGATAATAAACGATATTAACAATATGATACACACATGTGAATAGCATTGTGTTTATACCAGTTAAACCTTTTCTCTCTCTCGATTTGATAAACGTTGCATACTTCTGTTGCTTGATTGACTTCTAATATTTGCATAAGCGACTAGTGCGTGAGCGGCGTGATCAGCAAATTTGTTTACATTTTCATTAACCAATCAGAGGGCATAAATATTGACCACATCCGGTGAAAAGGAGCACTATTACACATATAGGCATTCATGGCACGCCTTCAAATGAGGTAGCTGCTTACATTTTTATTTGGGAATATTAGCTTTATATTTTCATTTTCCATGCATCCTTATCTATATTTTGTTCTTCCAGTTTATAATATTGTTTCACGTCATATATTTCTGTTTCTATATGTACCTCTGCTTGACTGTTTCGTTTAGTATGAAAATTTCGACCCAGAAAAATATATTTGAAATTACCTATATAATCGTTATATGACCAAGAGATGATATTACAATATCTTGGCGCGCCATATATAGGCTACATATAAAATACTTTCAAATTCCTACTGATATAATCTCATAATTTTCCGCATTATACTCAGTTAACAGGAAGTTCCGATTTACTATAGGCCTCCCACAACTACACATTTAATTATGGCCTGCGTTACCTAAGCCAGCATGGTTCCTACGTTGTCGAAATTGCCACAAGGCATCCGATTTTCCATCAATGAAAAACAGCAACGACGATTTGGTATTTTGATCTCGCCGCCATTACATAGCCTAATTAAAAAGGCAGTACAACGTCGTATAAAGAACTGCGCGCAAAGAATGACAGCATTTGGACTGAAATTCAACAAATTCGCTCTGTAAACTACACCTTCTGCTAGCCAAAATGGTAAAACGAGCTGACATGTACATCAACCATAGGCGATATATAGAACGTGAGGATACGGATGTGGACAGCTTTGTTAAGAATTGCAGGAAACGCCTACTCGATAGAAAAAATTGAATATGCATAATGTTTAGGGTTATCGGTAAAAGACGTTACAACGTACAATAGCATGAATGTGGAAGTAGAAATCTAAAGATGAGACCACAGGGTGAAGAGTGTGGTTAGTTGAATGTATGCGTTGTTTATTAATATTTTTAGACGGTGTTCACATATATAAAGTAAGTATTTTTGAAACCAAACAAGCACACGGCTACCATGGGATCGTTTTAGCGGGACAGCCCAGCTAGCGAGATCTTGCTATGAATACAATTCCTAATAAAAGCTTATGTGCGTTTATATGAACAAGCAAGCTAGTCCGCTTGGCGAGATCCCCCTTAGCGGGATAAAAATATTTTCATATAAACACTCCAAGCGGGCTGGCCCGGTTGCCGAGGTAGAACCAATTTTTATACGTTTTGATGTTTCTCAGCGTTTCTTTTATAGTTTGACAAGGCTAAAAACGAACAACGGTGGCAACGTACTTTAATAGATGCTAATACTAATGTGATATGAATTAACTTTGAACGCAAAGCCAATTAATTAAAGGCGTTGTAAATAATCTCTATCCCGGCAAGCGGGATGAAATGCTCTCATATATTAGTCATATAAACACAGTACCTTAAGTTCCCGCCCCTTAAGCCCCGTTTATACACTACACTCGATTTATCGACACAACACAGCTAAAATAGGTACCCGTTCCCATTTCATCTGTACCCGGCCTTTGTATTGTATAAAAATGGGTACACGTGCCATTTTAGCCGTGCCGTGCCAAAAAATTTACTGTGGTATAGGGGTTAACAGACACGAAACTTTGACAAGTTGTTTACAATAATACAAAGCATGTGGCATATAGAAAATGCTATATCCTCAACTCTGGATAGCCTATATACCCGCCTAATATAACATTTTCTGCATATATATATATATATATACTGAATATCTTAATAATATGGGGTAATATAATATAGCATATGCTCCGATACAAACAAACCTATAAACATGCAGATACCCGTACATAAAAAACGGCAGGATATATTTCGTACTGTCAAAACAAGTGTCAGATATCTTAATTCTTTAGAAAACTGTTGATTATGTTAAACCATAAAGTAACTACGGGTACAAATTATGGCCGAGAAAGTATTAAAAATTTACCATGCGAATTATGACGCGGAATCGCGAACATCTGACGTGGAATTATGCGTGGAGTATGAGCGAGTATGACACGTTTTAAACAGGCACTTAACCTACTTGAACCCATGAAACTTGAATAAAAGAAGCTACTGGTACCACGGAAGGTGTGGAGTTAGGTCCTATATATTGTTCGAACGTGATGCTGGTGGGTGTCTGAGAATACGTATTTTCTCATCAAAGCAGTGTATATGGTTAAAATAAGAACGATTTTACGTAAAATATCCTACGTAAACGGAATTCTTTTGGACACAAAGACCTCTTGCAGTTGTCGTTTCTAACGTTTGCCTTCCTTTAACTGTGCGTAAAAGACTCATTGTCATTGCCAAGAATTAGTTTAGTTGTTTTAATCATAAAGCAGTTACAGCAATGGTAACAAAGAAGGGAAGTATTAAAGTGAGAATAAGACACTCTAAAAGCCAGTTTACAAACTTTCTTTATTTCTCTTGCCTTTCCCAATAAATGCAAAGATATAGTGACAACGCTAAACAGTTAATATCCACCTATTCCGGCCGTATTGTCCTAAATCGCCTTTCGTATAACCTAATTTAGTGAGACGAAATAAGGCGTGAGACGAATTACGTTCCTTTTCACAAACAAATTAGCCGCACGCTGTGCCAACCCAATTTCTGACGTATTCAGCACTTCGCCCACGCAACCTGTTAAAATATAAAGTGCCACACGCAATACATCGCTACCACAATTCAAGAGTTTGTCGTGTTTTTTTGAACTAACAATGATTAAAGTAGGCTGGAAATTCCTGTCCTTTTTTCTCGCAGTATTAACCTGGCACTGGATTAGGAAACGTGCTGACGTTTCAGAAACGTTTCGTGGAAAAAACGTCGTTATCTGTGGTGGTTCTGCCGGTATTGGCGAGCAAATAGCGTACAGATTTTGTGAACAAGGTGCTAACGTTTTGGTTGTGGCTCGGAGAGAATTGGCGTTAAGACGTGTGGTGGAAAATTGTATCCGACTTGGAGCAGCCTCAGCTACCTACATGACCGCGGACTTACATGGAGGTGGAATTGATAGTAGAGACCTCCTCAAAGTAAGTATGCTAGATAAAAGCCACCCAACTCGCCCTTTCGTCATGGAATACCTGCAGGCCGAATCACGCGCTAGTTATTATATCGCACGCTATACTCATTGATCGCACGCTTCACATTCGGGATCAACGGGTCCTCCCCAAAATCTCGAGAATCAAGATATTCGGGCAAAGCTCAGTCGAAAATTCGGGCAAAACGAAAAAGAGTTACATATATAAACAAAATTTCTAAAATCAAATTTTGTAATATATACATCACATATGTGTATTCTATTTGGCCATTTTTTGTTACACTTTCTTCTAGCAAATCCGGCGCTTTGTCAAGTTTTTTTTGTTACAAATGTGGTAAAAGTTAAAATTCGGGCACATTGTATAATTCAAAAATTCGGGCGATTTTTCTTTGCTCTATTTCCAGTGGAAATCATAGCTCGTCCTTGTCAACTACCTCTGTAGCTCAGTGGCAAGAGCTTTGTGCCGGCATCGAAAAAGCGTAGGTACGATCACTCCATGCCGAACGACCGATAAGATAGTTGACACATTAAATTTTTATGACTGTTCCTAGCTTGAATTTGAGTTGTGGATTATTTCCATTCGAAATTAAGACCGTTTGACCCTTTAGAATTGATCCCACATCGAGTAGACTACCACTAAATCTTGAATTGATCTACACAAAATTGATTTACCCACGTATGGTTTGAAATACACCGCTTTATGTAGCTTCAGTGATACCGCATGAAAGTATGCAAGGGTGTGTTTGAACAAAATTCACAAAATTCTGCCACTTCCGCAACTAATTCTAAGACCTAGAAGGGCTGCTTATTTTAAGGCTGATTTTTGCTCTAAAAAGAGCAATATACTGCTGAAGCTAATCTGAAAGATCTAATACCAAATATTTTTGATAAATTATCAATCGAAATACATTTAAAGTGCACACGAAAAATCTACACAGAGTGCACTCAATACAAAATAAAACAAATTGCGAAAATATACATCTTGTGTTCTTCATATTTAAGATAAAACAAGAGTGTACATACAGAGTGTGTGATATTGTCTTCATTTCAAAGACATCTTCAAACAATTAAACTTACAAGTCGTTAATTGAAAGTTTTATGTTGTCTGACGAGCCCGAAGTTGTTTTAACTTAAATATCTGATATATACAAGACAATATGTCTATTTTCGGAATTTGTTTTATTTTGTATCCTCTCAAATTTTCTGCTTGCTGTGGTTACAAGTGCACTCAACGAAGCACGGACTGACGCAAATCATCCACGTACACCTCACAACTTGGGAAGTTACAACAATACAATTTTCTTTATTTAAACGATTTATACGCAGTTCTTTAACACATTTAGCATTTGTATATAAACCTAAGCTTGCAGTACTAATTTGATTGTCAAATTAGTTCAATTGCTTTCCGTTTATTGAAAAATTCCTTCCGGCAAAGCTCTCTTCACTATAACAAAAAGCTTTATAGGCTTGTAAAGATAAAAAATTATACATATATATATTAACAGATTCCGTGAGATATTGTCAAAATTTCACCAAATCATTTTCTTCGACGAATAGTCACGTCTTTCCCCCTAAATGTTTCAGGCAGGGCGAATGAAACATTATTTAGGATGGCTAGATTAACTATAAATAAGCTTAATACGGTCACAGCATACTTATGTGTGCTGTTAAAAAAACAAAGAAAACAGAAAACTACGCACGACATACGGTTTATTAGTAAATCAGCCTTTTTGAACAATATGGTATAGCCACGTCGCAGGTGATATAGTGTCCGTTTAGTTGTTGATATGTTTTGACACAGATTAACAGTTCACAAATGATGAATTTGAAGAAACGATTTCCCAACTAATCATCCAATTTAATGGCAATAATGTTAAGAATGATAAATGCATCGATTACATCAATGAAATTAGTTTACGCAATATAAAATGAATGTTGATGTTCGTGAGGCATGCATAAATATTTTTATAATAAAACATTTATAGTACGCGCGCGCTGATTGGTCGAGAAGCGTGTTTCTATAACTGTATAGAAACACGGGAATTTTCCCATCGATCTTGACAAGCGAAGCGATGTAATGAGAATTTGTAATTTAATCGAATTATAATATTTGCACAAAATCTTTTTATTGAGTTATATTCATAAAAGAAATAGAAAAATTTTTTTCCTGTCTTTGTAGCAAGGCATAACATTTGTGGCAGTTTGGAAGAACTCGAAATAACGTGGAAAATTTCCACTAATTATTTCTGATTCTCCTTTCTATTTCTATAGCTATATTAATAACATTAATTAACATTACTACTACGCGTTTGCTCATTGGTCGAGAAGCGTGTTCCTATAACCGATTCGACAAGTATTAACTATGGAGAAGTGAAGTAGTGTATTGAGAATTTGTATTTTGAGTGGATTTAAAAAAATTGCACAAAATCTTTTTATTAAGTTATAATATAAAAGAAATAGTGTGATTTCAATTCAATTAAGCTTAGCCCCGCCCACACGATGCGTAAGAATCTAAAAAGGAATATTTTAGGGTTAAAATTCCGTCTACACGTATCCGGCATTTTCGCGGCACTGATAACAGACGAATCTAAAAAACGATTTTCAGAGTGGAAGAATTTGAACACACTGGCTAAGCAGATACGTGTTGATGGCTTTGCTGAGTAACTTTTGAAAACGATATGGAAACGATGACGCGCATGTAAACCATTTAAAAATCCACCCACGTTCACTCCACTACAACAATTTCAACTATCGTTTTCATAAAAATGAGGGTTATTTCAAGTCGTGCGACAACTGAATAGAATAGGGTTATCAGTGGATATGGTATCTTCCGCGTGCAACAATGTCGGTTAATTTTTAACTGTATATTCCGGCCCATATAAATAATTAAAAATTGGCCAAAGTTAACCTTTTTCATTTTTAACCAAGTTAACCAATTTTCATTTCATATAGGAATCATTAAAACGCTTCCAGCAAGTAGATGTATTGGTTTTAAACCATGTTGTGTACGAAGTAAAACTCTGGCAAGCAAACAGAAACTTTAGTGATATTGAGAGAGCATTTGATGTCAACGTCCTAAGCTACATAGACCTTGCAACCTTGTTCTTACCAAGCCTCAAGGCATCGCGCGGTCGTCTTCTGGTTATCTCATCAGGACTAGGCGTGGTGACATATCCTTACTTTGCTCTCTATTGCTCCAATAAGCATGCACTTCATGGATTTTTCAACGCATTAAGGCAAGACTTAGCGTTGGAAAAAAATGAAATGTCTATAAGCTTAGCTGTACTAGGGGCAATCGAGACTGAAAATGCACTCAGAGCAAGCGAAGGTAACCCTGTGGCTGGCAAGAATGGATGGACTCGGCTATCTTCCGAGGAGGCCTCGCAGGCAATCGTGGAGGGCTCGTTGCATCGCGAGAGGCAAATATACTTTCCGGCGTTTCTTAAGATTCACGAATTTGCAAGTGTTCAGTTTCCCGAATTTACCGAGTGGTTGATAAGATATGCCTATGGTTTGCAATCTTAAACGAAGCCTACTTGAGAATACTTCCGCGAGAACGCTATTGGTGGAACTGGTGAGGGTGAATTAGGTTGCTGAGCATTCGCTTCGCAAATCGTCACCTAGCATTGAGTAAAACTGAGCACAGAAGTAACTTTAAACAGTATACCTTAAAAGTAACCCTAAAAAAGTATAATAACTGATATCTAATGTAGGATAAATCTAAAAGTTCACTTTGATTGTGAAGATAAGATCAGATCACGTGTTCCCAGACGTATGTAAAAATTCATATATGCGAATATTTATAGATATAAAAATTATACATAAAGCCATAAATTATTATATTTCTACACCGTGTAATTTAGTTCTGCATACACCATGCAAATTATAATAAACAACCACGTTTTGTATATATTGAAAGCAATCATGTATTATTCGAATATCGAATTACTTGCAACGACCAGGTCACAGCCGCAATTTACAGTTGAAAATTGATACGTTTATTTTTTGATAGTGAAAAAGTAATTTATTAAATTAAATACCTACCATACTGTTGATGGTCCAAGTTTTGATTGTGTAGGATACAGACATAGTAGCTACTTATATACTTACATGTGTTTTTAATCTAAAGAACCGACATGCAAAAATTCGCTATGTATGTATGACTTGCCTTTGCGCGTAGAAATGTCATATAAGGTGGCATTAGATAAGATTTCTTCGTCAATCGCTTACGTTAAATATTATCGCTATAGCGGTATGCAGTGTTTTCATAATATACGATATTCCTCATACCGTTGCAAGTTCCAGTTCCTTGTATCCCTATGTCCCTTCTTACCCCTATCGCTCTTGTATAGTCAACGAGACGGCTGGCTGCCTTTCGAATAAGAATATCAATATTGGTAGCTATTATGCTATTTACTGTGAAAGCCATGTCTGCACGATTTGCTATGACATGGTACATCAGTTCATTGTTGGCTTCAGCATATGGGAAAATTCACTTTAATATAACTCGCGGAAGCGTAGACAGATATACGAATCCTGGTTGCGAGAGCGGTATTTGTATAAAGAGTTGCTCTTTTGGGGCTTCTTGTACAGCAGCTAATAATTGCTTTGAATGCCATTGCGATGCCAAATACCCAACGTTTTATGGCGCTAAATGCGTCAGGAATGAGAGGCTTTCGTTATCGCTAGGTGAGTTTATTCTAGCCTAATAATATTTAACATGTATCCGTGTTAGGACGAATCACCAGCATGGAATGAGGACTTGATTTCAAAAGGTCAACATCAGTTCAAGGACACATGTACAAATAAGATATTCGTTAAGACTTAAAACTTAACAGGAGTTAAACAGGTAGAAAAAGCTTTCAACAAAATGTCACTATATCATTTTCCTTTACATACGGAAGTAGAAAGTCAATAAAGCATGCATATATAAAAGTTTTTGTCTGTAATTCCAGATGCTCATCGATTGCGGAAGTATTATGCCGCATAACATGAGGCTACCCCCTAAAATCAAAATATAACTATAAATACTTGATTAAAAGTCTTTATAAGCCCGACATTTCCTGCAAATATTGCATTGACTAGACTTGATTAGACAATAATACCAATTACCACGGCATCTTATATTACCTGCATTATATTACATGCACGTACCTGTACCAGGCTTGACCTATACGTATACGTGGCTAAATTCTATATTACTTTGTAATAATTATACAAATTAAATGACTGTATTACATTTTATTTACGATAACTATAAAACCTGTTGTGATGAACACATACTTTAGACCGATTACTAATTTATATATTCTATTACTAGTGATTTACATTTGATTGACATTTAATTACGTAGGCTTAAAATTGGGGTACCTGCATGGACATGATTAGAAGTACGGCAATTGATACAAGTTAAACTGCTAACATGAGGATCTAAACCGGACTGTAGAAAAAGTAGACGTTAATGCTAACCTGTGACTGTATTTGTTTATGTGAATCAACACGAGGATATTGGCACAGAAATCGAATTGTGTTTGCGCACAATATTATTTGTGACAATAAATACGATATACCAATATCCAGTCGTGCTGCGTAGTAATAAGGGCGTATTGTCGATTCGACGAACCAAAACCTTTAGTTTTATTTTGCAAGCATATACACCTCGGTTAATTTATGGAAATTAATTAAATACAACTATAGACGGCGAATCTATACGTTTATCAGACACCATGAAAGTTTCGATTCGCCATCTCCCGCTTATAATTTTTTTATTATTATTATTCCCCTATGTACAGTTTTATAATTAAATATTACATATGATTTTATAATAATGTTAGGCTAGAGACCTACTAGAAACCTAGTTAGGCTTTTGAGGCTAGGTCCCTAGTGATGTTACATAAATTTAACTATTTCTAATAATGTCCACTGTAAAATCAGTATAATCACAAAGATGATTACTTACACTAAATACTAATGGTGATCACTTATCAAAATACGCGATCACACAGGGCAAAGCTAGGCAAGCCTGGTACAGGTACGTGCATGTAATATAATGCAGGTAATATAAGATGCCGTGGTAATTGGTATTATGGTCTAATCAAGTCTAGTCAATGCAATAATTGCGGTACCGCAATGCCAATAATTCCTGCGCACGTTTATACACAGGTAACAATCCCCGGCGCGTGGTTTTGTTTATATTAATTGCGTAATTATACCACCCTCCTCCTTATGTTCTCGTCCCGAGGACATGCTTTCAAATCAATTCCGTATCTTAGTGACGGATTAATGTGTTGTCTGAGTCTGGCAGGTCGAACACGTGGGAATCCGTCAATTCCGTCTTGTTGGGGTGTAACATCAACCACCTTGAACTCACCTACTTGAAATGGGATAAAACTGCGCTTTAACTGGTCACGGTGAACGACCATTACTTTCCCTTCCTTTGAAACAATATGATAGTCAATCCCAACCTGTTTTAGGATTCTATAAGGCCCCACCCATCTATAAGCCCGAACTTCCAGCCATGTCTTTTCAACATGAATGTTTCGCCCGATTCGAAAACGCTTTCAAATTCTTCCGGCATCGTGTGGACGCGGGGCCTTAGCTCCCCACAGGATATCGTATATTGAGGTAACCTTGTTCAAATGCAGGATTTAGGTGTAAATACAGTTGGGCCAAGCGAATTGATGATGTCAATCAAACTGACCAGCAAGCTGAAAAATTTATCGGTCAACAAGCATTTTTAGCCTGTAATTGTCCGTCAGTGGCCGTAATATTTTGATCAATATTTATACTGGGATTTTGATCAATATTAATTCTGGGAAACTCGGAAAAACAGGCTCTATGGTAATCATACTATATATAAGAGCGAAGGCCTTGTTCTACATGAAGGTTTTACTAAATCTCTGTCTTAATTTCCTCCACAGATGATAGCCAATCGTTTTTAGCGAACCGTTTTATGGACACACTGAATAATTGCTTGGTACCATATTTTGATGCCGTAAGTGTTACCACAGCCGATACATGTGACTTAAACAATACTAATCAACACTGGATTTGGACTAAGCATGGACAACTTTTAAATGTGTACACTTTAAAATGCCTTCAAACTTCGAATATACCAGTTTTTAAATGGTATCCTAAAGTGAGGCTAACTAAATGTAATGCATCCGATTCGAGACAAGTATGGACATGCTTGAAAGAAAAAGGTCTTGTTCGCCTAAGATATCTAAAACAACCACGGTATCTCAACTATGGGAATGTCCTTTTTTATGTGATTGTCTTTCGTGGAACTGGCATATTCAGCCAATGGAAACGTTATTCGACTAAACAACCACTCTGTTCTTCTGTGTCGGCATATCACGGTGAGAGCGAAATTTTTAAAGTCCATGTTACGGCAGAGTATGTAATATAGATACAGAGATCCAACTAGCTTGCGCACAGTAATTAAAAGCACTTGCCGGGCACGCGCACTGAAAAAGTGGGTACACTAGTTAGATCTATCGGGCTGTATCTATTATTTCCTCTGTGGTGTTACACAGTATAATTTTTCTTGCAACTTGCAATGCATACTAGCACCGTGCAAAAGGATTATGGGCTGTACCTCATGTTGGCAACTTCACTGTTTTTGTTTTCGTAAAACGTCGAATAATCTAATACATAAATGAGGGGCGCTTTAAGGGGTGGCGAACTCAGATATTTTTTGAAATTTACAGACCATTTGAACCCTAATTTTGGTTTAATTTAGCCGCAAATTTTCTATGGAGAACCTTACTGTTTGTTTTTACATTACATCAAGCTTTAGGAGCGCAGAATATTTTCGCCACCTTGGTTGGCGCAGAACGATAACATCTTCTCCAAGCCGGCGCGGCCCGGAGCGGCGTGCGAAGGTACTAAGGCCTAGATTAAACATCGCATTTTGGTCGCGTCGAACGCAATTTGAACAATATAGATAATGAGGTGGTAACGAAGCTTGACGAGGTTTATCATCTCATTATCTATTGTTTGGATTGCATTCGACGCGACCAAAATGCGACGTATAACCTAGGCCTAATTTTGCTGGGAGATTTGGAATTATATCCGGGTAGTGTGACAGAACATAGCGGAAACCAAAGCTGTGTAAACTTTATGCCATGGACGTTGGGTGGTTTAGTTAGTTATGAGCATGCGCGAAATTTGAAAGAATGGAGACTGGTAACCAGCTACCTGAATATAACAGATCATGCAATGAAAATCATCAGGAAATTTGCATTATTAATTTTTTGTTTTAAATAGGTTGCTACAAATACTTGGACGGGTCAAGGATGTTTATAATCAAGAGAGAAACACTGAACAATTGCAAATACTTCCAAAATTACTGCGAACTAGAAAAACACATTTCAGCTCCTATAGAAGTTTCAAATAATGGTTATTGCTATATCGATTTGGATAAAACGGAGTTTCTTAATTACAGTCGATGGCATTACATTCCAAAACGAATTCTCGACATAAGGTCGTTCCAGATTGTGAAACGGAACTCGGAAACAATCACCCTAAAGGTAAATATTTCGAGACAGAATCAGCGGTTATCATCTCGTATACATTAAAATTTTCTTTGGCTCAGGATATAAATTAAACTAATCTTTATGCGTAAGCCTATTTGTTTTAAAAAGGTAGGTATCAATTTTGTTTATTCCGGTATTTGCTGTAAGGATGAAGCTCATTTTCACAAATAATAGCTTGGTATGTCATTTTGCAAAAACATATATCCGTTTATGAAAAGCTAATACCCATGAACTGAACATTTAAAAAGGTTTTTAAAGTAAAATTTGAATTTTAATAATGCAGCAGAATAACGGGCAATGTTTACTTCACTTTTACTATTTTCTTACCGAATAATAGAAATGTTTTCTGTCAACTCATTTGAGTCATTTCATTATATTAACGTTAGTCTGGCTGGCTCAGGACATTATTTGCTGGGTTTGAAATAACCATGCAGCAATCATTGCTGCATGTATTTATTTCAAGTAGTCGTGGACTGTAGTCTTCATAGTAAAGAGAATAATCGCAACGCTTTTGTGCAGATATCTTCATGGTGCATGTTTAATACAATTTTCGACGCCTTGGAATAATCCTTTATATTATATATTGCAGTTTTCTGTTTTTATAGGGAAACAAATAGTCTTTTCTATAACCTCCTGATAATTATCAGCCGGTATGGCCATGTTAGTATGAACAAAGATGCAAAAAACGCACAGTTTCGTACAACGCAATATATATTAACAGATTAATAGGAAACAGGAATTGGAAAAATTAAAATACTGTTCCATTGTTTGCAAGCTTGCTAGAAATGGGAGTGGTCTGTACAAAGTCATTGTTTCGTTTATTTCAAAAAGAAGATTTTGGTTGAGGCTCATTACTTACGGTATCATTGCCATGCCTGCTTACAGAATTTATTGGTTTTCAGCAAATATATCAGAAAAATTAACCTGAAGTGAATTTCGAAACTGCTTTCACCAGGTGAATCTGACTGCTGCGCATCATCTTCGAGGACATATTATCAAAATATATATTGGTTGTAGAAGTAAAAATGATGAACGATCTTCCACCGATCAGTTGACTCCCACAGAACAAGGAGGGAATGAAACGCATTGCGTTTTAGTGAAGTTTTCGGGGGAATTTAAAGGTAAGTCAACTATCGGTCCTCCGGCAGGAATCGAACCTACGCTTTGGCGATGCCGGTGGAATGCTCTTGCCACTGAGCTACAGATGCATGCAGCTGAAAAAAGCAAACGTGTTTAATGTACATATGATGGCAATGCCGGGAATAAGTGAGGGTAACCGATAGTTGACTCAGTTTTCTATCAACTGTTCCTGGCTTGAATTTGAAGTGTGTATAATTTCACTCGAAATTAAGACCCTTTGAACCTCTAGAATTTGCCTGCATCGAGTAAAATGCCAAAAATAATGATTTAATCAGGTCGTATAATATATATTCTACGTAGGTGCATGAACATCTCTCATAAGAACACACACGAGGAACTACATACAGTTTAACCATATTCTATGCAAATGGGCCGGTATGGACATTCCTTATATAGTTTTTGTTTAAGGAAGTGATAACGGCTGTCTTCTGTAAGTCTATCTCTGCTGTAACTCAACCCTTTCCCTTTTCAGATTTCTCTTCTGTCAAAGTAAGTACAAGCAATGGTATTATTTGTTATCGTAGTAGTTTGTCTCCAGGCAATTTATTCGCATATGTGTATTTATGTTGTTGAATCCAGTACTTTTCGCATATATATTATGTATATATTGATGAACGATTTATCAAAACTCTGTCGTAGTTGCTTTAGAGTTAGTATGTTAGCACTGTTTACCTATATATCATTGAATTATTTTTGAACAAGAAATTTAATTAACCTAATGTGTAACCTAACAGTATAATGCGTGTAAATTTATACTAACTTTGCACTGATATAAGCGAATCACGATCATAATACTGATTTCCCTTCCTTATATATTACTGTAACTAAACCACAACCGCTATATATTCCTGTTTAAGAAAACCTTGTTGTGGACGAATTCGTATACATTTAATTACTTTTCAAATAGTTATCGACTACACCAACGACGAGTCAAACTGTACAAAGTAGAGGTATAAAAGGGAAAACGATGTCTACATTATCCACAGTACGTCTATGCACTCGTGTAGAGCATCAGTCTCAAAGAGAACGATCGCGAGATATAGCCGCATACATGCATGGCATGCAGAGGGAAATCAGGAAGTTGATCACAATTTTCTAGCTTTTCTCTTCTTCCAGTGCTGCTATTATTTCCCAATGTTTTCGGCACCCTTAATAACTTGTTGATGAAAGGGAGACTTTGTTTTAGAATCATAGAACATGCAGAAAGAAATCAGGAAGTTGATCGCAATTTTCTAGCTTTTCTCCTCTTCCAGTGCTGCTAATTATTTCCCCATCCTTTCGGCACCCTTAATAACTTGTTGATGAAAGGGAAACTTTGTTTTAGAATCATAGAACAGAATATCATCATTTGTAAATTTAGAAGGATATTTCCTCAACCACCATGTCAGCCTACGCTGAAAAAAATCAAAGCAAAAGCGATTCATCGACGTTGGTGATTGTAATCGTTGTTTGCATTATCGCAGCGCTGCTGTTGGCTGCAATCGTTCTGTATGTTGTTTTTAAACGAAAAAGGTAACTATATATACTATAAGCACCGATTAACTCGATAGATATGGCACGTTTGATAATCACGTCCTTGATTTCGTGGCAGAGTCAAGCAAGTGCGCTAAAGAAACATTTTGGGCGTAGAAAAGCACCAATACAGAGCTAGACTGAACAGAAAAACGACTATGAAATAATAGGCCAGAAAAAATATCCTTCTTCCTTCCAAGAACCTCGATTCCCTTTTATAAAAAAATTTCGAGTAACACAATTTTTCCATAATCGTGGATTGGCGTGGAAATTGCGGGTGTAATTTGCTCGTTTAGCAATATGGGATATACGTCATTGGCTACGCGCCAAAATTTTACTATACAGCTTTCAAAAATGACAATTGACATAAGAACACTCTTTTATAGACGTGGAACAAAAGAAACGAATGAAACTACAAATGGTGAGTTATATTTTATACTGAAGTACATCTCTACAAGACATGATGACTCTTTCAGTTAACAAGAAGTTTGGCGGAAGACCATTCACTTTTGTACTAAATGATAAAGCGCGCTAACCCGGCTGAACTAGCGCTGATATTTTAGCCATTATAGCTTTCAGAACGGTTGTCGAAATAGAAATCCATTCTGTAGTTATTCGATTAATTATATTAACCTGTGTCGTTCTTCATGAAACTAGGCGAAATTAGTTATATAAAGAACTATAACTCTGACATAAATTTGAAACCGAAGTAAAGTACATTTCAAGATATATTATGCTCCATTCCATTCCATTCCTGCAATTTCAGATCACCTTGAAAGAATTCTAATGAAATACTGATACAACAACCTACGTAGCAACTTATTAGTTTACAATCCCAGCAATCAATTACTTAGTGCTTTGACACAATTTCATTTTGTACAGAAATCGACGACGACTACGTATCACTCCAACATGCTGAAACTTCAAACCCAGTTTATTACACAAGCGGCAAAGCAAAGATATCCCAGGAAGTGCAATCTGACGAATATGAGACACCAGTTGACGCGGCATCAACTGAATGTACTTTATATGAGGCCAATGTTGACGAGATTGTCTACTCAGAACCTCAACCGACCTTTCATGCGCCCGAACCGGATTCAGAAATAACCTACGACTATGCAATACCCGACTGAAATTTAAAAAATTGTCTAAGATTCCGAAAAATTCTTAGAAGAGCTTCAAAATTCACTATTCTGTGATTCAAATAATACGTTTATAGTATTCGAATTAAAATAAAATAATATAAAATAAATTGCACAATTATTCGTTTCTTGGCGTAAACGGGTCAATCTATAATCCTAGATAAGAGTGAGTTATGATATAAGATATGAGTTAAGCGATAAAAATCCTGTACACACTGTAAAAAATGGTTGGTTAAGACAACCATTTCGTTTTGTTGCAACCAGGGTCGTCAAATGGTCATTTTGACCAATTGTTTAATAGGTTGCTCATATTTGACCAATTAAATATGGTTACGTGGTTTGCGCCCTATATTCTGGATGATGTCATGGTGGAAAACAAAAGCAATATAGAAATGGATTCGCAATGGTACCCAATACGGCTTAAAATTGGCTTCAAAGATGGCCATCGAGGTATCATTCCAGTTTACATAGAGTTCACTTGTTTCAATTCATCATTCATGCCGATTTCATCTGTTTCAATTCCAATTTATTCTCCTTGATATTATAGACTATGATTTAAATATTTACCAAAAACTATCATACATATACCATATATATATCATATATGTTTTGCCGCCACTTAAATATCGAGCTATATCAAGTAGTATATTTTAATATATGGCTGTAGATTTTATACTTAATGTTTCCTGTGATAAGTGCTGCTATATTACCTCAGAAATGTTCGCTCAATTGCATACATGTAGTATGTTCATTACAATAGGCGACATTGTTACCATGTTAACAAAACAAAATTTAACAAAACGCAAGTTATTATCCATATTAAATACGATCCTATGTAATTGATATATACGTTTGTATCACTCAGCTATACCTGTGCTTCCATCATATAAAAAATGAAAACACCACTTTTGGTATACTCATGTAACGTTTGGCTGAAACTGCGATTTTGAGCCAAATGTATATAATTGATGTACCGTCATTTGCAGTTGAGCTTGCGGCTTGCATTTCAAACGCGTTGTTCCATTGTTGAAACGGTGCGTTGATTGGTTAGCAACGCCTTGTTTCTAAGGGCTAAAATTAACTTTTGATGGGCGAGTGAGAGTGCATCATGAATTTATTTATACGCTAGTTGGAATATGGTGACGCTTTGCTAAACTTTATCAAACTTTATCACAACAGTTTTTAAATTCAGTAATTAATTTCCTAGGTATGGCATTGCTATAGAAATGACATAACCTAGGAAATGTATTGATCATTTAATTTCAGCCCCATGCAAGGCGCTGCTAACCAATCAACGCACCGTTTTAAACAATGGAACAACGCGTTCGAATGCAAGCCGCAAATTCAACTGCAAATGGCGGTATGCGAACTTGGTTTGTGCGCCGCCCTCGGCGTCAAACGTTTATGCATGGTATTTAGATGCAATACCAACTAGGCGGAATTTCGTTTTGAAGTAATCGCATATTTGTTTACATTTTTCAAGCAAAGCCAATCAGAATGCCTAAATTTTCAATACTTCATGTAAAATGGTGGGTTACGGAAAATGTAAACAAACTTGCTGATTGGACTAAAACGAAATCCCTCCCTGTTTGCAATACCATAAAACGTAATATATGCTATAAGAGTTTCCTATAGTATATATGATTATACGTAAATGTAACGCATCAAATAAAATTCAATGAGTTGCATATCACATTAAAGCGCATTTTTACAATTTTCATTCCTAGCGGAAATGATTCAACTAAGTGCAAATACAAGCAAAGCTTTCGTTAAGCCCTGGTCAAACGAGAATGATAGTTGATGAGAGTTGAGAACGAGAGCTGATTATTATTATTAAACTCTCATCAACTCTCATCAAAATTTGAACCAGTTCAAAGTCGATGAGAGTTGATGAGAGTGCACGAGAGTGTATGAGAGTTCGCGGTCAAACGCAAGCGAGAGTTGCAACTCTCATCAACTCTCATCAACTATCATTCTCGTTTGACCAGGGCTTTAGTAGCAACATACCTGTAGAATATTTATCTTTTGCAGCATACTTGGGACTAATACTTTATCAAGTGTTTAAATACCTTTTCAATTTTCATCGGGTAGGATTCTCAGGATTTCTTGTTATCCCGCCAATCGACCGTCGTCATTATTTAACGATATCAACCAAAGACTTTTTAATCTCGAGGAAATGCCGCTTAAATTCAATGCCATCACCCTAAGAGAAAAGGGAGATGATCTGAAAGTGGTCAGAAGGATATGGAATGATATGGAATCAACGTTGAAATACACTGTGTGTTTAATAAGAGTTAAAGCAACACAATATGAACATTTCAAGCTCGATACAACACAACGGGCAGTACCTGGACTTCGAGATCAACATAAGGTTTTAGAAAGGGTTTTGAAGCGTTTTTGTGGTGTTTATTATAGAGTTTGAGTGAAATGAAAACATTTTACATAAGAAATCTATGTCTTAATTATTCGTTCTTTAAATTGATTTTTTTTAAGTACGCGCCAAAAAGTTTTTATGAAACTCAAACATTTTCCCTCCACGTCAGTCTATCCAATAGAAGCTGAACTGATGTAAAATTCGCTTAAAACTCCTTAATTTACCAAAATGCTATAATATATATTGAAAAAAATATCCAGTTTTCTAATTGTAGTATATACTTAACTATATAATTGTTCATACGCTATCACATGCACTTTCTATTTACAAGTGAACGACGTAGAAATCATGGTATTATTCTTCTTACTGCATCGTTAGTTACACGATCCCACTTGCACGTTACAACAATTACCTGTATACGATTCTCATTATTCAAACAAAATGAAAACAGGTTCCGCTGCCCCATTTCATTGTTTACTCACTGATGGAGAAGTTTGAAATCAGACGTTTGTCTTACGTTTATCCAAACATGCACGAGTAAGAATCGTATACGATCATGTAAATGGTGGCTCAACATTACCTTTGAGAGTCGGAAGTCAACCAAAAGCGAATCATTCATTTCGAACAAGCATGCTTTGAATAAAAGGGGATTTCTTCTTCGATCAACTGCCGAAATACTGATCTATTTAAAAAAAAGACACGATAAAGATACAGAATATAAGGTTACAAAGGAACACTCAAAGAACTTATGAAAACGAAAGTCATCAGTTATTTAAGGGGATCCTCACACCAACAAGATACAGAGATCATTATCCGGCTAAAAATATTTCAACTTTAAAATCATGCAAGAAGCTTATTTCAAAAGGATGCACATATAGCTAATATCTGTGATGTGGTTGACTGGTTCTTCAAAGCCAGTCAACCTAATCTTGGGTTGACGCAAAGCTACGCATTAATTTTTCTTAAGGTTGCACATTTTATTTATATACGTTTTATAGATTTTCTAAAAACGTTGCCATTTAAAATAGAAGCATGAAACAAACCTATATCTTGTAGAAAAAACGCGTGGGTTAAAATTTTAAAAAAGGTGTAATATTTACCCATAAAAGTTAGCTTTAATCGAACCTCGAACAACCGGCTACTTGAGAATATATTAGTCCAACTATACCATTGGATATGCAACGAAAAACACTTTAATTCACTTACAACTTTCGCATTAGTTTTGAATTGATATCTCCTTTCATCAAACACTGAGCGAAGTTTTTTAAGAGTTGTTTCAAGGTCAACTTTCGAGTTAAATCTCGTCATTCGCTTCACTAATCTCTGAAAAGGTGTCTAAAAAATGGAACATTTTATCGAGTGTACTTAATAAAAAACCTCCAATTTACCCGTCAAACATAATTTAAATGTTTTGCGACACAGAAGTAGCACAATCGATATTTTACAATATAAGATGAGCCAACAATGAGATTTCAGCATGGGTGGCAAGGATTAGTCGCCGCCATATAGCACCACACCCCTCCCCCCCTTCCCCTTCAAACTTAATACCAATAATAATAATAATCAATCTATACCAGAATTCATTTCGCGTCCTTTTAGAACACAGCGCAAAGCCATGAATTTTATTATTTCAGCCATTGGGACTTACTGCATGTTAATCGCGGTAGAAAATGGGTAGAGTATGGGCAATGAGCTATACATGGTGCCAACAAATGTATTGGCTTCTCAACATTTCAGGCTTATACATGGATTTCTTTTTCACTAGGCCCGGGGGGCTTCGATTCTCGGTGATGGGTAAGAATTTCCCAGCCGGCTGATTATGGATAAGAACTTATCACCGGTAGCTTGCGGTAGATAGCGAGGGCAAGAAGTCTATATGCAGCTTACTTTTAGTTTATAAATTTACTTTACATATTTTACCTGTGGTGACTGGGTGCTTGGCGACTGGCTGGATAATAACATGTGGTCTGGATGGACTGGTTGTGAAAACCAACTAACTCCATCATCTCCGTCTCTATCGTCATCTCCAGTGCTGTCAAGATCAATTTTAGTAAACCGCCGAAATTCTGGCTGAGATGCGGATATCTGATCACTAAGAACAGTATAAAATATTAGGACGGTTTAGTGGATATTACGATAGTTACTGTTGGAAATACAGAAGTATTCAAGTAAAAACCATGCTCTAGGCGTACTCATGCCAACCTCGCCATTTAACATTTTACTATGGTAAATATTAAAATAAACAGTCACATACTTTTGATCGATGGAACTGTCGCTGCCATTAGCAGTGCAAATTCGTTTAAAGAGGGAATCAGAAGGAGAGCTTGATGGAGAACTTTTGTTCTTGCTGAAACTTCTTAAGTACCACTTGTGATTCTTGATTTGTTTCACCGTATACCGTTCTTTCGGGTCTTCTCGAAGCATTTTAACTAACAAACCTGACAGGAAAAATTCAATTGTGCCTTTACGATCAGAAAACCTGCATCTTAATCTTTACCTATTCACTCTCATGAATATATTTCATCATAATTCATTAACAAAATTGCTTTCTGTTACATTGCCTTACCAAAAGCAATAGTATCGATTTTATTCCAAGGCGTGAAATCATAAGTTTGTGATTTCCAAGCTTTGTATTCCGGGCATTTGCTCGCTGGCTCGTTCCATGGTAATTCTAAAAAAGCGGTATTCTAATGAGCGTGGTTGAGGAAAGGTTGAACGACTTGGTTTTCCCGAAATACTTAAATTTTATATGGTACGTATGTTTATTACTAAATTGGCCTTAAATTTAGGTCTGTTGTTTTTCTGTGATACTGTATATATAATAGCATAACAATATAATGATTTATACAATATTTCATTCAAGTTACCTCCCGCCAGCATCGCCACCAAAATAATACCACGACCACAAATCAGCTGGTTCTGCAGCATACTCTTTTTTGCCAAATACCTGCATTAACATCAAGGTTACAGTATAAATTTTAAAACCTATATATAGGTTTGTTTTGGCGTAGATATGCATGATGCATCATGTGAGTGAATCTCTTGTGAATGAATCTCTTGCGAATAGGGACATCTATAGTGTTGAAGGTCGGTAAAAAATGATGCCATATAAATAATCTTACAGTCATGGCAAGAATCACATGTGCTTTATAGAAAGGTGGCCCAGAAATAGCTTTGACCAGCTGCAAACTAAAAAACCTTATCTCGAGCACGATATAACGTTAGCTCGAGCCCGATTATTCGAATTACCGCTATATATTCATATTACCTATTTTAAACCCAACGAAACATATTATTACCGCCAATTCCAAACCACATGAAGCCCTTTGAGTCATAGAATTCAAAAACCGATATATATTATCTCAGGAAAATTACATATTGCGATGATTCAAGGCTGCTAAATATGGTGCTAAGCTGCATGCCATGAGAAGCTTTGGTGGGTTTTCTTTTACTATATGTAGCCTAACGTCTCGAAAACGTTCTCTGGTCAGAAAAATGTAAAATTTGACATATACCTCAGGGGCAACATAGGGAGGTGTACCACAACATCGACAAAGTGACCTTTCTTTGCCTTGATGCCTAAACACCGTTGCTAGCCCAAAATCCGTTATCTTCAGGTTATCTAAAAACAAAGAAACGCTTCATAAGTGCATGCATACATCTTTTCTGCTACGCAAACAGGACAAAATAAGACAATTTGTTTTAAAATCTAACCGTTAACATCCAGTATCAAATTTTCAGGCTTCAGGTCCCGATGAGTCACGCCTTTTGTATGAAGATACTCCTGGGGAAATAAACCATTACGATAAACAGCAAAAATCACACTGAATATTGCGGAGAAAAACATGCATACATTTCTAGGCCGTATATGTTATGCATCTTTGTTGCGTAAAGCGAAGCTTGAAAACCTAGAAACTATCTTAATTACCACACCATCCAACAGATGCCTGAAGTACTTTTGGGCCTGCATTTGGGACATGCCAATATCAGGTTCTAGAAAATAAGCATCAAAAGACATTTCGCTTTTAAAATGAGATTATTGAAATCAATATACTGCTTGTCTCTTCACTCTTAGCTACAATTTTATACAATCTGTGCACATGCATTTATCGCGTCCAGTTAACTTGAAGGTGTAAAAATAACAAGAAAAAGAAAAGCAAGAAGAAGAAGAAGAAGAAAAACGGCGTTTCCTTAGAGAGGGTGTCAAAATTACACCAAGTATTTAGCGTAATATATTACCACAATAAAATGCAGACGGGCATGATATTTAACACCATTCAAAACGGCGGCAGAATTCTCGGGTGTCAATTTGAAAAAATTTAACAATCAAACAGTAAAAAAATTATTTAACTTGTAACTTAATGACAGAGTATGGATTTGAATCACATAATCGCAAAATTTAGGAATGAAATATCTTAGCTAAATCGTTTGCTATTTACACTAGTATTGGTTATGCATCACGAATGACTTAAAAATCGTTGAGTTTCGTTAAGAGGCGAATAGTAAGTTAAATTTTCCCAGTAGGCTCTCGACTTCAAACTCTTGGGGTAACAACTTGATAACAACTGCATATTAAATGGAAATAGGTAAAACATCCTTAGGATTTTGATAAATCACTAAATCAGGTGCTGTATAACACCAAATAGAGTGCTAGTCATAGTTTCCATCTAACTCGATAAAATTTACTACATTAACACATTTGTCTTGTAGTAAACGATTATTATTACGTTATTAACTGCGCTTTAAGCAAGCAACAAAATAGGTAAAATAGTCGCACAACATCTCTAGATCCTCCACTGATAATAAAAGTTTATCGTATAATAATTACAAAACCCCACCTATTTTGTCGAAGAGTTCCCCGCCTGATGCATATTCAAGAAACAGATATTGCTTGTCGCCTTCTGTCCTGCTGCCATAGAAACGAATGATGTGCACATCTTGCAGCATGCGGTGAATGCATATCTAAAAAGAAGGAAATACGGTATAGATTACACCGCAATATATTGACTCGTAGAATATCTTTGGTATAGGAAACTACTTCTTGAATTCATTTAAATGTACCAAAGTTTGGCTTCTATATGTCAGGGACCAAAAGAAACAACACAAAATTCTCATGCGTGCCCTGAATTTTCGACAAAAGGGTTTTGTTCTCAAGTAACCCAAGTTCGGAGTTTATGAAACTGAACATATTCATTTAGAAATTACTCCTATTACTTCAGCAAGAATTACATTCAGTAAGAACTATACATGCAGAAAGTTAACAGCAAGTTAACTGATAAGAGCAGTGGAGAAGACACATTCACGTTTAGGAGGAGTGATTAGTAGATAACCCCCCCCATATAGGGATCAAAGGGTGCCGACACAATAGGTTCACGTGAACAAAAATTACGATTCACGTGAACAAAGACCATGCGTTTGCACGTGGGCATGGGTCATGGATCATGTGAACAAAGAAGTCATGATTCACGTGGACAATGACCATGAGGTACATGTGAACAGGGATCATAAATCATGTGGGATGGAGACTTTCCATCACGTGAATAGGGATCATTGAACATGTGTACAGTAGGACGCATTTAGAGTGTAAATGAGATCATTTACAATTATTTTAATATGTTATAAAATTTAAAAGATAATTCACAAATTTCTTCTGCTTTTGCCTCGTTCACGGAGATCTATACCAGCCAAGAAGTATTTTATAATTTTAATATAGTATAAACCTTTTTTTTAAAAAACCCCGACTGTTCTTACATGGAATATTTCGGTTCACAAACACGAAAAATATAGTCCAAGAAATACTCCAAACATTTTGCTAAATTAGTTCCTTTCTGCCGAGTATACGTCCATCAATTGCAAGTATGGCAGCGCGAATATTTGTTCAAATTCTGTTTTGTGGGTTTGCTGTACTTTAGCACATCATATGCTTCGCCAACTGCTTGCCAAAGCCTAGTTTTGTTTTCCTCTGCTTTTGCCTCGTTTACGCAGATCTACCGACCAAGCGATCTGGGTTCCTTCTGCTGATTTTTTCAATTTTAATTTCCTCTGTATGAAGTTTATTAATGTTAGCCATAATCTCATCTCTGGCTAAAGTCTTCACTGTTGTTAAATCAACACCGTACATTTGTTTAAATGAATGAGTCATTTTAGCATGAGTAAATTGGTGCTAATAATTAAGAAATGTAAATGAAGGGATTTCGCACGGTTGAGCACATCAAGTTAGATCCTGTTTACACTGTACCCGATTCGCATGGTCACGACATCAGTTTACGTTTTACCGTATATTTGTCCCCCAGAACTTTTTTCATTTGTCAGATCATGCTAAAGTAACCATGCCACCAAACGTTTGGAGGTGAAACTCCCGTTGACATGATTAATTTTGATGTCGTTTGATTTTAATTTTGATGTCGTTTGATCAATTAATTTTGATGACCATGCGAATCGGGACTAAGAGGCCACTTGGGGGATGTAAATTAGGCGCTTGCAAAATTAAATGCTTGGGAAGAGCACGTTGTGGATGTAAATGAGACCGGCTAGCAAAATGATATGCATGGAGAGAGCACGTTGTGGATGTAAATGAGGGGCGTGCGAAATTAGACAAACGTGGGTATGCTAAAGAGGAATGTGAGACCACATGAACAGAGTGTGCAAGTGGTGTGATTAACACGTCGTCCACGCAAATGAATAATCCTTGAAAGTAATATGGGTTACAATTTTGTGGAATGAGCCGATGAGCACATGAGCATAACTGCTCATAATTGCTCGTAACTGCTCATAACTGCTCATGAGAACATGCTCAACTGCTCGTAGACATTTTTAATACCAAACTATTAAATAGTATTAATATCAGATTTGGGTAGATTTTGAAGGCAAAATGGGTTGCAATTTGGTGCAATGAGCGTATGAGCATGTGCTCATAACTGCTCATAACTGCTCGTGGACACATGCTCATAGCTGCTAATAGCTGCTCATAGCTGCTCATAGCTGCTCATAACTGCTCATAACTGCTCATAGCTGCTCAAAGCTGCTCATAGCTGCTCATAGCTGCTCATAGCTGCTCATAGCTGCTTATAGCTGCTCATAGCTGCTCATAGCTGCTCATAGCTGCTCATAGCTGCTCATAGCTGCTCATAGCTGCTCATAGCTGCTCATGAGTTAATCGGCTTCTGTGCTCATAAAATTCAGTTACTGCTCAATAACAAACCATTTTTACACAATCAGTCCTAAGGGAATGAGCTGCCAGTTTTGCGGGAAACACTTTAGACGCGGTTACAATCTGCGCAGACACGAACGGGAATATTGTCCACTAAAACAGCAAGAAAGAGGCATGTCTCGAAGAGGCTCGGACAGTCAAGAAAGGGATTTGCAGGACGATGTCTCGACCACTTCATCTGTAAAGTCTGAAAGTTCGATGACGACTGACTCAGAAACTGAAGAAAAAATGGATCCATGGATACCCCTAATAGAAGAAGCAAAGCAAAAAAGTAATACAGATTTCGAAGAAATGAAAGATATACACTGGCCTGGATGAGCAATCTGCTAAGGAGAAAGCTTACTCGAATATTATGCCTATACTCCAGAAAGAATTGGAAAATATTTATTTGGAACGGCTTCTGTGGATGAGACAACTAAAAAAAGATCCAGTACATAAGAAAATAATGCACACAAAAGATGCGTTTGTTGAAAATGACGATTTTGATCCAGAAGAGGCAATAGAAGCTGCTGTTGATAAGAGAAAGTTTCTTATTAAAAGGCTTTTAAACAATCACCAGGTTGAGGATGAAGAAGAAAATACAGATAGCGATGATGATGATTAGAAATAATGATTTACTAAACCATTCTTATAAAGAAACCATGAAAAACGAACAAAAAGAGATAAAACACGATTTAGAAGAAATTATTATAACAGAAAAATAAATGTTAAAATCGTTATTCCAATGATTGTCTTTGTTATTTCGTTCAACCAGTATGTTACTTTTCTGGCCTAATACTATGTAGTATGTTACTTTTATGGCCTAATAATAGCTATGAGCAGCTATGAGCAGCTATAAGCAGCTATGAGCAGCTATGAGCAGCTATGAGCAGCTATGAGCAGCTTTGAGCAGCTATGAGCAGTTATGAGCAGTTATGAGCAGCTATGAGCAGCTATGAGCAGCTATTAGCAGCTATGAGCATGTGTCCACGAGCAGTTATGAGCAGTTATGAGCACATGCTCATACGCTCATTGCACCAAATTGCAACCCATTTTGCCTTCAAAATCTACCCAAATCTGATATTAATACTATTTAATAGTTTGGTATTAAAAATGTCTACGAGCAGTTGAGCATGTTCTCATGAGCAGTTATGAGCAGTTACGAGCAATTATGAGCAGTTATGCTCATGTGCTCATCGGCTCATTCCACAAAATTGTAACCCATATTACTTTCAAGGATTATTCATTTGCGTGGACGACGTGTTAATCACACCACTTGCACACTCTGTTCATGTGGTCTCACATTCCTCTTTAGCATACCCACGTTTGTCTAATTTCGCACGCCCCTCATTTACATCCACAACGTGCTCTCTCCATGCATATCATTTTGCTAGCCGGTCTCATTTACATCCACAACGTGCTCTTCCCAAGCATTTAATTTTGCAAGCGCCTAATTTACATCCCCAAGTGGCCTCTTAGTCCCGATTCGCATGGTCATCAAAATTAATTGATCAAACGACATCAAAATTAAAATCAAACGACATCAAAATTAATCATGTCAACGGGAGTTTCACCTCCAAACGTTTGGTGGCATGGTTACTTTAGCATGATCTGACAAATGAAAAAAGTTCTGGGGGACAAATATACGGTAAAACAACGTAAACTGATGTCGTGACCATGCGAATCGGGTACAGTGTAAACAGGATCTAACTTGATGTGCTCAACCGTGCGAAATCCCTTCATTTACATTTCTTAATTATTAGCACCAATTTACTCATGCTAAAATGACTCATTCATTTAAACAAATGTACGGTGTTGATTTAACAACAGTGAAGACTTTAGCCAGAGATGAGATTATGGCTAACATTAATAAACTTCATACAGAGGAAATTAAAATTGAAAAAATCAGCAGAAGGAACCCAGATCGCTTGGTCGGTAGATCTGCGTAAACGAGGCAAAAGCAGAGGAAAACAAAACTAGGCTTTGGCAAGCAGTTGGCGAAGCATATGATGTGCTAAAGTACAGCAAACCCACAAAACAGAATTTGAACAAATATTCGCGCTGCCATACTTGCAATTGATGGACGTATACTCGGCAGAAAGGAACTAATTTAGCAAAATGTTTGGAGTATTTCTTGGACTATATTTTTCGTGTTTGTGAACCGAAATATTCCATGTAAGAACAGTCGGGGTTTTTTAAAAAAAAGGTTTATACTATATTAAAATTATAAAATACTTCTTGGCTGGTATAGATCTCCGTGAACGAGGCAAAAGCAGAAGAAATTTGTGAATTATCTTTTAAATTTTATAACATATTAAAATAATTGTAAATGATCTCATTTACACTCTAAATGCGTCCTACTGTACACATGTTCAATGATCCCTATTCACGTGATGGAAAGTCTCCATCCCACATGATTTATGATCCCTGTTCACATGTACCTCATGGTCATTGTCCACGTGAATCATGACTTCTTTGTTCACATGATCCATGACCCATGCCCACGTGCAAACGCATGGTCTTTGTTCACGTGAATCGTAATTTTTGTTCACGTGAACCTATTGTGTCGGCACCCTTTGATCCCTATATGGGGGGGGTTATCTACTACTGTGATTATTCTGCTGCATCTTTAACAACACCACGCGAGTCGAAGTTAACGTTAACGAAAAGAAAGATCTTCAGTAAAGTGGTTCGTTTATTTGGTTCAACCGGCTTCACAGCAGCGTTCCTAATCCGTGCGAAAATCGCTTTGCAAAGACTTTGGCAATGTGGATTTTGCATCCCTCTTGTGTATCAAACTGGTGGACAGAGTTCTTGAGTATGAAACTGGTGGACAGAGTTCTTCTGAGGTTCAGGAACTTGATAATGTGTCCTTCCCGTGACGTTTAAGGACGCTGAATACATCATCTGTATTATTTTGGGCATTACGAATAGAATTCTTCGTGACAATTTCCGACCCGTGGAATCATCAATGTACTTCCAAAGATCTGCTTGAGTTACTGTTAGGTCATTTATAAGTAAAATGAATAACCAAGGACCTAACTTAGTTCCTTGTGGCACACCCGATGGAGTTGGGCCCCATTCTGAATAACAGGTATCTGCTAACTTTACCCGCTGATATCTATTAGGTAGAAAATCTGATATACAATTGATGACGCTATTTGGTATTGCTTACTCTGATAGTTTTTGGATCAAAATTGAATGATAAATCGGATCAAATGCTTTGCGATAATCGAAAATGATTGTTCGTACAACAGCGCCGTCGTTGGTAATGGACCAGCGATGGATCATGCTGATTAATGCAATAGTAGTGGAACTTCTGGGAATCGCACCGTACTGATTTGGATCAACGACTTTCAAAATTGCTGGTTTCACATAATCAACGACAATAAATTCTTCAGCGACTTTAGAGATACTGGCAGTAAGTGAAATAGGTCTTGTATCTTTCTTCTGATCATTTACAATTTTTACCTTTGGCAGAGGTGTAATGTTGGCCATTTTCCAAGTGGTAGGTACACGTTGCTCTCGGTAAGAGGTGTTAAGGATAATTGAGATTGGAGGGCCAGGATGTACGAGTATTCCTTTGAAACCAAATTAGGTTGCCTATCGGGTCCACGAGCTCTATTTGTTGGGAGTTTCGATAAAACTATTTGCACTCTTATTTCTGATATATTTGGAAAGATTGCCGTTTCTTCCAACGGAAAATTTGGTAACGGACATCGTAATCTGTATTCCTCAAGAGGTTTTAGAAATGCTTTATTAATTCCATTTGCTCGTTCTCTTGGTGTAAGGTTAGGAAATGTTTCAGCATCAAGAATGCTCAAGAGAAAATGTATTGCTTTTGAAATCAATAAGACGTCTCCAGACAGTTTAGGTAAACTAAATGCGAATCCAGAATCCTGAAGTAGCTACACCCGGATAAAGAAAAGAAAGTGCGAAATTTTGACGATTAAAAAACAAAAGTCCCATTCCCGGCAAGATCACATTAATACAAACCGTGGACAAAGAATAGGACGAGAACGATGTCTTCATGGGGGGGGGGGATTCGTGAGAATAGATACACATATACATATATATATACATTTATATATATACATTTATATATATATTATATATATAATGTATATATGTATATGTGTATATATGTATATATAAAAATGTATATATATGTATATATATATATATATATATATATATATATATATATATATATATGTCGCTAAAAGAAGGTCACTTTACACTTAATTGTTGTCTTGTTTTTCAGTTAACTTATATCTTGAGTTTACAAGATGTTTTTCGCAGCATGTTTTTCTTATATTTTACCAAATTGTCTACTGGTAAAGGTTTTTCCTTCTTTAATTTCTACATGAGATGTGTTCAGTAAGGAAATTTCACATGTAATAATACTATCTTTTGTCTATAAGTAATATATTATCTTGTGACTACAAAATGGCCTAAAAATTTTGGTACTGTATATATACTGTTGAAGTACCATCTAACATCACTGACACTCCAATTTTTTTATACACAGATACGGACATAGTATTTTTGATTTTTATATTAAATAGAATCACAGGGTTGCAGGTTCAATTTCCAAGAAAGGCTGAAAGATTGCACAGGGGTCAGTAAAACACTTTGTCACATTTTCTACTCATCCAGCAGATGATTTTTTGCTTTGTTGCAGATTCATTTCCTCCTCACAGACCTGAGGCTGTATTTTCCACAACTGCCTTGTAAAGAGACCTGATATTTGCATTGTTCTTAAATCACTTTTACCAGCAACCTACAGTATTTAATTTATTTATTTATTTACGAACTTTGTCAAATGTGATTGGTGACCCCTACAGAGCTTCATTGCTCCATTGACAGGGTACCCAAACTTGTAAATTAGGTTACCGGTACCCCAGTTGAAGTACCAACTAGGGTCTGTAAGTCAGTTAGGAAGAGAACAGAAGAAAAACCACAGGTTTGATCCATTCAAGAAGGACTAAAAAGCAGCATTTTTTGCAAATTCATCTGTCAGGTCATGGAAGTGTATATTTAATAGTTATATTCAGTTACTCTATCCACAAAATCCCGGCTACTGGTAAAATAGGGATTTGTAGACAATTAGGGGGACGGCCATGTGAGGGCAAACAAGCAATAATATCTTGGCTCACTATTTCATAATTACTCACCATCAATTCTTCATATGCATTTACAGTACATGAATATTTATATTAGGTGAAGTCTAAATAAATAATCAACCAAATTTCCCAAAAAATTCAAGAATGGCATGGTGACAAATTTAAATTAATTTTGAATTGTTTTGCAACTTGACATTTAGATCTAATCGCCACAAGGATTGACTGAGCTAGTCAAAAACACTGTGATCCAATGATGAGAAGTTTTATATATTTTTTTGATAGTTGCTTAACCCCACTTGATGAGTAACATTGGCAGAATATGGCTTGCAGACAAATGAAGGTACCCATACAAAACATATCTATTTTTGTTTAGGATTATGTGAAAGCTAATAATGGTCTGCTTACTGTATTATGGTCTGCTATTATGGTAAAGCTTATGGTCTGCTTATTGTAAATAGAAACCTGAGCAAACACATGCCATTTCCAGATATGCATATCAAAAATCTCTACATCTTGTATTCTATTATTGTACATGTGTTAGTGCATTGATGAAATTGCAGACAGCAGTACAATTCATGCCCAAAGTTGCATTTTCACAATATGGCTTATGGTTCTGTTTTTGTCATATTATTTCCAACACCTAACTTAGGTGTTTGTTCTATTATTTAAACTATAGCACTAAAAATTTCACCCCATCCAGACTTTACCAGACAAGTTATTTTAACTTTGATTAAATGAACCCAGTGTTAGAGCAACTGGATTTTGACATTCAATCTATAATAATTCTTCCTAAAAAGCGACAATCGAACTCTCAATCGATGAAAGTTGTTAACCTTGGGGGGTCGATTCATGCGCAAGGTATATAAACTTTCAAAAATCTTGACAAGGAAAGCAAACCTCTTTACGAATATCTCCTGGGCATGCCACTTGCTCCAAATTGATTATTTTAACAGCAATAGCTTCCTGCGTAGCTCGATTAATGGCCAACTTGACTCTGTTGAAAAGGGTACAATGTTAAAGCACGCAAACAACAAATACAAACAATACAACCAACGATTACGAGCTATTATTGTTCACTGATCGATATATTTTGGGTACAAATATTTCACTAAAGCAAACTTACTCGCCAAATGCTCCCTCTCCCAAAGTCTCAACGAAATCCCAGCCTTGAACAAACGATTCCATAATGAAATCTTAAGTAAACTAGTGTATTAGAACGAGACTGAACAAAACATAGACAGATTTCATGTTTAAAGTACCGTTTCGAACCATTCGAATTCCTCGAGTTCAACCACAGCCGTATTTCCCGCCAAACCGCTAAATTCCCGCCAATCAGATCACCCCGGTGAGCTCTGAGTTCACTGGACTGTTAACAGGGGGGATAAAAAGTCAATGACAATGATTTGAAAGGTAAATCTTTATAACTGCAAAGGTAACTGCCGATAATTTACCCGAGTACATACAGTCTGCTGTGTAATCAAACCCAGTCACGTAATTTGGCATCATCAAGCGAGTTAATTTTTGTTTACCGTCCGGCCCTGTCGGTTGACAAAGCGAATGACAATTTTTTGAATGGTAAATGTTTATTAACTACAAAGATGATTGCGTGTAATTTACCAGGGTACAGTGTGCTTTTTCGAATGAGATCAAATTCCAGAAAATAATCTTGGGAAATAATCTTCAGTTGCTATGTGTAATATTCGAGTTAATTTACGGGTTTACTTGAATTAGCTCTTCTCACGATGACGAATATCCGCCATTTTTGGGGTACTTTCAATTTTCTTAAATGCGTTTAAGCAATAATAGCAATGTAAGAAGCATTTTTAAGAGTCCATAGACCATTTGAAAAAAAATTAAGCTTAAAATTAAAGACAGCCGCGCTGACAGATCTTGCGCTCACAATTTATAAAAAAGTACCCAAAAATGGCGGCACATTCGTCATCGTGAGAATGGACAGCCTCGTACCCAGGCGCTTTAATAGTAAAATATATAACGTTGCATTCAGGTCTTATATAGAGGTCAGCAGAAAAAAAGCAAGCGCGCAGGGGTGCTTGTTTTTTTTCGAGGAACAATAACTGAATGCAACATTATTTTTACTATTAAAGCGCCTGGGTACGAGGCTGGAGAATGGATAATACCGCGTGCGTGCGCCGTGCAGACGCCCCCACAAACTAAAATTCACAGTTTGTTTTTCATACCCGTGTGTTTTGATTTTTTAATAAGTGCGATTTGCTTTTTTGTATAAATACTGAAAAAGATGCCGGAAGAAAGTAACATAAAGAATGAAAATTTAGGCTGTTGAAACAATCAGTAAAGATAAAGAAGGCTGTTTTAGACATTTCGCATGAAACAAGAGTTTATCTAACTTAGAGGTTTTTGCAAGGATAGAAGTAATCGAAAAGGCCTTTAGCGTCGAAATGTTTCATGACCGTTTTTGGCCCGTAAATGATATAAACAAGGAATGTATGAAAAAACTAACAAGAAATGGTCTGTAAAAAATTAAATTTAATTTAAAAAGTTAAATTACTGTTTTTTCCAAGTTTGATACGCTGTTGAAAGACGTCTTCACATTAACATGTTTAGAAATAACTAAATACATATACAACCTTTTCTAACAATAACATTATATTACCAGCAATAATAATAATAGAAACTGCAAAGCGATGAAACATGGTCAGCAGGTCATGGTGGATTTACAAAGGTAAATTTGCGACAAAATGTCTTTCGAAAAGAGGAGGTTTTCGAAAAGCCTTCCTACAACTTATACACTCGAAAATATGCTAATTGCACCGAGGGTCACATGAGCATGTTGCATGAAAAACACGATAGCTTGTGAAAATTACAACAAATTTTTTTTTAATTTACCGCCTTTTTCGTCCAGCATAGCGGACGAAATGACTCATGTGCCCTCTCACTGCAAGTCGCTTAACCCTGTTTCTTCACACTACTCTTTATATTATGACATTCACAGCATGGCATTCATTGAAGTATCTATCTCGTAATGGTCTCTGCAAAGGCGTTTGGATCCATCATGTGACAACATTACTTTCTTTTTACGGCACTCTGATAGCAATATAGCTACCCTTCACACTGACGGTCGAGTAAGTCCTTTCGCCATTATTACATCTCTCATGAGCAACAACATTCATAAGCATCTTTTAATAATCAAATTCTCAGATTGCTTCAAAAAGTTGTTCACACAATCCCACCGAAACCAGAAAAAGACCAGACTCGCGGGTGTGGCAATCATGCTCACTACTAATGATGCAATTGAATCTACTTTTTAGAACAGTATATTCCGCATTGTTTAACTAATCAAATATTACATCCTTCAGTTATATATATAGATCGCCGTTTTCTATTCATCGTCGTTGATAGCAATCACCCTCTCGTTTCCCTCCATTTCGCTGTACTGCCTACGAAATCTTTTCGCGGAAAAAAATAGAAGCAGAGCCCACTTGAACGTCATAAATCCCCACACAATCACCAGGTAATTCCCTTTGGGACTCAGGCCTAAAACAACATATTGAAGAATTTAGGACATGTACAACTTTCATGGCACATTATTGGCATTGAGTTTTACATGGTTCTGAACCGCCGCCCCCCCATCCCCTTACTTTTAAACAGGCCCCGCATGCTGTAACTGCATGGATGAAAATGTCTTACATATATTTTACATATTTTAAGACTGAAATAAAAAAACATTTTGAAAGAAAACACAGGCGAACGGCTCCAAACTAGTCTGCGAGAATGCGAAATAGACACAGACGAATTTTTAACCTGAAAAATCAACTATATAGAGAGAGAATAGAGAGAGAAATATAAAATTGAAACTTTCGACTACGTATCAGTTTCTAAATGAGCGGGGCAGCGGGCCATCCCATCAAGCACTGGTTTCACTTGTCCCACTGAAGTTCATTCAAGTTTAAGACTAATATCAGTCTCTGGAATGCTGAGATATACTATTGCAATATGATCAAATTCTGATGTCCTTCGCGTTTTCACATATATACGATTTTCTCACAAAAACCTTTTTCTTTCACGTTACGGACGTTTGTGCATGTAATAAATTACGGTATTTCAACGCAGTGCGTCAACGCACATCAGGTTTCGGCTCGCTTTTTTTAGAAACCTATATGCACGCTTTAGCTATATCAAATTGCATATATTAGCCGCGAACCCGCTATAGCTTTCTTGACCCTAACACAGGCAAATCCACATGCTTATGAAATTTCCCATATGATGGAAAGGTCCGTTCCGACCGAAACCACAGTTTTTGAACTGGGTGTACATAATGTATATATTTTATGATGGTTATATTTTTATGCATTTAAATGGGCATTACTTGTAAAATCTGTTTAGAGACAAATGTGGATTCTTACAAAGCCCCGTTTACACTACACTGAATTTATCGGCACGGCACGGCTAAAATTGGTACCCGTGCTCAATTTTAATAGTGTTCAGGCTACCAAAACAAAGGCCGAGAACAGATGAAATGGGCACGGGTACCCATTTTAGCCGTGCCGTGCCAATAAATCGAGTGTAGTGTAAACAGGGCTCAAATCTAGGTTGTTTGCTGCATGCATGCAGAATACATCGCGAGACAATTTGTGTCGCGCAAAAAGATGAGCCTACATTAACCAACTTTTTATATAGTTAATATTGCATGTAGGAAACAGTAGGAACAAAGCCGCTTCTATAGACCAATGTTATGGTAAGCTAGGGAAGTCCTCGTAATATATACAGGATTTTTCAGTTATAAATGTTGCACTATAATATATATATTCAGGTATTACCTAAAATGGAGCACGTGCATGCAGTTACAAGTATTATTGCTCGATCAGAATTTAAATTACGGAGATTCATTATTTCCTACAACAATTTACCACCAATGATCTTAATTTGACGTGCGTGCCACCAACTTGTCCCAAATTTCCGGCAACAGGAACGTTCGAAATTAACTTTCAAATCTTGTTAGCTACATATTTTTTATCTTGTTTGGGTCTTTTGATAATGCAAAGAGCAATAAATTATCCGTCATCCAAGATTAATTCCAAACCCTATCAACTATAATTTTAATCGAGGATGTCATGCAGCATTTTCGAATGACCTGCAAATTACCTAGCGGCATAGTAGTCAAAACCTGTTTAGACTGATTTTGTTCAATTCGAATTTTGAGAGAACGAGTTTTGGGATCATATAGATAATTGGCTAGAGGAAGAGATGAACTTGCGTGACCCACACTTATCATGAAATACGTCAATTGTTAGAACTACAGGAGATATGGACAGTCATTAATTACATTTCAAAAGGCCATATGAAAAGTTCCTACGAAAGAGGGATGAAAATTTTTTTGTCAATGTCCTTCAACTTTTATACGTTAGTTCCCATTTTCACACTGATCTATATGCACCTTGGAGTGTGAGAACAAATTTGTAGTTTGGGATCTGAATGTGCTGACTAATATAGCTATCATAATTTATATCAAAAATATAGTTAAATCCAGAAGAGTAGAAGATAGAACCTGTTTTAATCAGGTTTATTTATTCAGCACTTAATATAATCCAACAACTCAATTATACATTCAATACGGTTTATATACCCACAGTGCGTAAAAAACATACAATGAAGTGATACCGCTGCGCGCGGTGATTCAGAAACTAGCTATATATAATTCCTTTTAGCTATATATAAATCACCTGTGACATTTGCTCATCACGTTTTTGTTAAATGCCCGGCTGAAAAAATACACTATAGGGACACGCGCATAATTTTTTTTCGGAATTTCTTCCAAGAGACTATTTCCAAAGGAGAATAACAGGTAAAGTATGCAAATATTGCATGAGAACAATAGACCGCTTTTTGTATGTATTTTTTGTCTATATTCTTATAAACCAATGGCTAGTATTTTGGTTATCGTTCGCTGCAGCAGCAAAACGCATTAAAATACTTTTAATGCGCCAAACCAAATGTTAATGACCCAAAGTGTTTGTTTAAGTTTTTTTTGAAATAAAAAATAGCATAACTAATGTGTAAATTTTTGCAAATAATGCGCGCGTATATATATCCAGATATGAATAACTGCGCGCGTATATATATCGAGATGTGAATAATGCGCGAGTCTGCATCGAGGTATGAAAAGTAATTAACTATATATTTCAAAGGTAGTTCATATAAGAACGAGAGATGGAATTTTTTGTCATAGCTAATGTGTAAATTTTTGCGAATAATGCGCGCATACCCCTAAATTACGCTGAGTCTTACTCGTACTAAAACGTATAATAATTCTGCCGT